AACTATTCCTGAGATTGAGGATTTAAAGCCAGAACAAAGAGAATGTTTGGTGAATTTTATCAAGGGGAAAGACGTTATTGCTTTTCTTCCTACGGGATTTGGGAAAAGCTTAATATACCAGTTAGCCCCGTTAGTGGCACATTACATATGTCTCTACCAAATAGCAGTGATTGGTTAAATGAAAAAAGCACCCCACCACTACCGTCAAGCGAACAAATCATAATGCTGCGAGGTCAGACGGTTTCCACGAAGTGAAACTGGGTGATGAATCAGGCTAAATGTGATGGGCCTTTCACCAGAAAAGCTACACAATGCACCTTTAAGCACTGGAGGAAAAAACTATTGATACTTCAGCTAAATCAGCTAAAAACTAGAGAGGACCAGGTTTTCACTGTAGCTGGTCTCAGACTCTGGAACAGTCTATAAAGATTTTCAAAGTTTTGTTGAATACACATTAGTATGCACTGTTTTTTAACACATGAGCAGACATTTGTATTGTATCGTTTTATTGTGTTTTGCATGTTTCATTTTAAATGAGTGCACTTTACGTTGTCTTTGTACAACACTTTGGGCAGCTGTGGTTGTTTATAAATGTGTTTTATAAATAAATTTGACTTGACTTGACATCATGAGACTTGACATTTCTAATAGTGGAATATTCGGGAGTTACCGTGGAGACACAATGCACACATTAGCAAATACTGTCAAAAAGCTTCAAGATTGTCTGAAAACACAAATGGATTTAAACAACACATTGTCAGGAGTCTGTGATCAATAGAGCGTTCATGGTCTCGTTTAGGGGTTTGATTTTCAACAACAATTGAGAGAGTGACTGACTGACCGAAGAATGTTTGGCCAATGTAGTCTTGCTTTTGACTGTAATTTTATGAGTGAGAGACTTGTTTAACAGCATAAATCAGATTAGCTCACCCGTTGCAGTTCCAACTAAGTCAGTTCTTTCTGGTCAGATTGTGTTAAAATAAAACTCAGATTAAAGTCAGACAAAGCAGAAGTGCAGCTGCCAAGTATCACATATACACTGTTTTTCACATTATGGAATTTTCTGTTAGCCGAACGTCAAAGCAATGGATGTTTTATCATTTTGATAATACATTTAACATTCATTGAAAAGTATTCTGACAGTGATAAATGCACGAACCATAATGGACATTTTAGACATTTAGTCTGAGCTTGTAAAACGTTTGGAATCTTATGAAAGGGCATAAGTTACAATTGTTTGAAAACGTAGAAAATATTTACAGACATCCTATTATTGAGTAGTTTTATGTAATAATATTTTGCAGTATTTACAGTCCAACAGAAATAACCCTCGTATTTCACTATAAATGTCCCCAGTGAGTGATCCGTCTGTGCTTTTGTGTCTATTTTCTAACCACATACATGGATGTATTTAAAACAGTCCGAGCTGGGACTTGTTTTTCCGGCGCCTCAGTTCCGTGTGGGGCAAATGCGTGCCCATTTCCTCACATTGATGCTGTTTAAAATGGTCCTCAATGGTCAGGCTGGGAAAGCCTCATGGACAATGGGAGCGCAGGATGGACAGCGGATCAGAAACCATAGCAGGGGCATACACACACAAACAGACTCAAGTCTCTCATGTCTGGCTCATGTCTGAAAGCAAACAGCTAAAAGGTCACTACTTAGGTTAAAAGGTTCAAACAGTCTGCCTAATTAGTGTACACATACTTGGGATTGTTGGTACTTATGTGAGAATATTTCTACATTTCAGAAAGGTCAGAGATTTTTGGATTTGAAAAACTTAGAAAAAGTTTAAATGTCATTAGCTTTTGGAGAAAAGAAAATACTCTGGAACATCCAGTGACAGCCATGAGATAACTTTTATAATAATTTAAAACCGATTAACTCTTGACCTGTGTATGACTTATTTTGGGTGAATTTTCTCAGCCTAAATATGCAGGATTTGTGTTAAAGATGTGTAAATGTGGTCTGTTTTTTATGAAAAAACATAGACGAGCAAGCAGTATAGTATAGGTCTTTTAAAAAATCTGAAAATGCATTCAGTTGTTAGGAGTGGGATCATCCTTGGAAAAGTTTGCAGTCCCGTCCTTCAAACATTTAAAACTATTACTCCTGACAGCCAGTGAGGGGAAAAGCAGACAGGTGATTCTGGAGTTGGACTCGTCTCAACAATAACAAACATGTGGTGACCTTGTGAAACCTCTCCTGCAGAACTGGACCCGCCCTCAAGTCACTGCTGTGTTCTGGACTTCAGAGCCATTTCCCTAAGTGAGCCCCCCTCCCCCTCCTCACCCTGTCACCCATCTCATTTCCTCCATATCCAAACAAAAGCCACTTCTCTGAGAACAGTGCATGACTACTCCAAACCTGCACAGGGGTTAGTTGCATTGGTTTACAAGAAGATCACGCCATGTGCAAAAATGCTGGGCGCAAATGTTTGACCAAGATGAATAACTTTTAACCCACAGTCATACCTTCAAATGGACTGGAAAGAATTTCACCAAAATGTCAACTTTGGCCAGACATTTGAGACAAATTCCATGATTTAAAAACCACACTCCAGGAAAATGTGGAAAAGTAGAAATTTAAAATGTGGAAAAATAGAAATTCATGTGGTTAGTTTGACTTCTTACTGAACAGGTCAGTTTAGTCTCAAATTTTAATTACACTCGATACTTAGTATTGTCTCGTCAGTGACAGTTTGATCTGCAAGGGCTTGAGTTTTCTCCTGATATCATTGTCCTTGTGCCCTGTGCCCTGATAAACTGACACCTTGAACTGTTTCTGGCACATACTTAATCTCGGACTCTGACTTTTTGGACTCAAAAAAGATTCTTTGTTTTAGGCCAGTCACACGATAGAGGAATTGTTGTGTTGTTTCATTGTCTCTCTGTTTTGCGCAAAAAGTTCCTGGAACAACTCCGTTCTATTCCTCCCAAGATGTGACTGCATGAACCCCTTCAGCTTGCCAACTGTCACATCATCTTTGTTACATGTCTTTGAAATCTTCAGCTTTAATAATCTTCAGAACACCCCTCACAATCTCTGTGAAGTTTTCTTTCATGCCTTCCTCTATCTACAGACACTTTTATAGCTAATATCGGATGTGTGATCTCCGATCTGGCCTCAACCAGAACCTAAACTCATGCCTTGGCAGGTAAAGTAAATCTCAGAGGGAGACAACAGGGTTGGCATGGGGTCTAGGTGGGGTTATTACTAGTCTGACATAATCATCGTGTGACAAGCCAACATTAGTATTACTATTGTCCATGATTGGTCACAAAGTGTCTAGCTCATGGTTCTCAAACGAAAGGGGTGGGGAAAAAATCTGCTGTGATGCCTCCCCCGTGGTCTCAACAACAGCGATCTCACCACTGGGTGGACGCAGGAGGTCATCTACTATTGTATGTCCTTTAAAGCAAACAACTCTCCTATCCCTGTGTCCTCAGCTTCTAACAAAGTTTTACTGTTCATGGAGTTGATGTATTCAAAGCATCCTTCTCCATCTCCACTTGACAACTCTGGATCCTTGCTGGATCCCAGCTTCCAAGTTGGAACCTATTTGGAAGAGTTGATCAGGCGGCAGTGTGAGCAGGCCTTTCCTGATGTGCCACACCAGGTCCTTCCTCTTGGTGTCAGCCATGATGATTCTCCAAAGCTCCGCAGTAGGTCACTTTCAGCAAGATCTTTTATTACGTGGATCGCAGCTTCTGCACTTGACATCTGCTGTAGTCCGTCAGCTCTTCAGCAGGTTTGTTGAATGAGGATCAGCTCCATTGTCGTGGAACAAATCCTCATAAGGGCCACCAAGAATCTGTAAAAGACACAGGTTTTGGACCTGTTGGGCAGATTAAACGTTACCTGAAAAACACAGGTAAAGAATGAGACAGGCAACCGTGAAGTTCTTCTTCCGCCATATTTATTCATACAATCGTACTTTTATTTCAGTGTTCAGGTTTAACAACTGTTTCTTGGTTTACTATCACAATCATGCAATAAAATATGAAAAATTATGTTTCAAGATGATGTAAACATTTCCATTAGATAAGTCAACACATTAGCATTGTTTACATATTTCCAATATAACTATTTACTCCATATATATTATAAAGAGGTAGAGAGGTTAATGGTAGCCTGTGTGTTTTAATGTGAGTTTAGAGCATAGACCCTGGGCTGAAAGAACTTTAAGGCTAATATCAGAGTTTGTTTTTCCTTTTTTACATAGGCACTCAGATAACCCCGCAGGGCACTGATGCTGATGTTGGTATGTCCGCTGTTGGTTTTGTGCTGCAAAATCAATTGGAGAGCTCATGTACAGGGTATTTTACTCCAAAGTTTAAAAAGGGAGAAGGCATTACAAAGCCCATTTGTCCAGGAGATGCTACAGATCCCCAGTCCACCGCCACTGTCCACTTGGCACTAAAGTCCAGACAGGCAACTGTCTGCTCTGCTTTTACATCATGCTTTAATCCAGTGGACGATACAAGATGGCAAAACCATGTGAACTCTCCGACACAGCCATCCCCAGAACCATGACATGAAACATCTGGAAGCACAGTACTTACGACTAAAGCACATATAGAACTGATTAGACAGCGTGGAATAATTATGCTTTTATTTATGTTTTTGCAGTTGTTTCTTGGGTGTGCTTGTAGTGAAACAGAAGTTACACAACAGCTTATTCATTCTCAGGTTTTTAGTAATTTCTTCCTAGAATTGTGCTTACAGATTAAAGCAAAACACATTATTTATATTATATATATATATATATATATAATATTAATATAAAATCTTCATATTCTATCCAGGACTGTAGACTGTATGCATTGTACGCTGGGACACTTCGTCCAAACAATACTCTGGTCAGAGTGAAGAAGGACACTTTAATAGATTTGAGGGACTTTTAATGCTAGCACATTTTAAACAGTTTTACAGTGAAGAATAGTTTATATACTGTAGATTTATGTGCTGAAATGATATTCACTTCAAGAATATATGACTGTATGTATGCATGTTTTAATGTGGTCCAGGACAATAACCACAAGAACATAGTTTACAAATCTCACCACATTAAAACAATTTTAACAGTACATTCAGACACACTTCAGACCCCAGCCTTCATCTGGCTGTTGGGGGGCAGTGGTTTTCCCAGATGGATGCCCACGGTCAGGCCAAACTCTCTGTTGGCATGTTTCTCCAAGGCCTCTGGTCGGAGCTGGAAGCCCCTCTCACTGTCAAAGCAGCACATGGGGGTGAATGAGAGGGGTTCCTCCTCCAGGAGCCCCTGCAGACGAGCACGCCAGGCCTCCAGCATCGAGGTGCGCCTCTCCACAGGGGCCAAAGCTGGGGCCCAGAAGAGCTGAGGGGCCAAGACCTGGAAGCCACAGTAATGCAAGATCCCATTCTGGAAGAATGGAATAAAGTCAGGAGTGAGTCATTGTTGTCAAAGAGAACAGGACTACCTACCTGTAAGGGCCATAGGGTGACATTTATGTCCCCATTGATGCCATCTGGACTGAACATGGTCTCCTGTGATCCTGTTGTGAAGGACAGCATGGCCTTCTTTTTCTAAAAGAGTAAAACGCAGTTATTCCAACTAAATAGTTTTTAATTTTACAGTCTTCCTTTATTTTGGTGTATGCTGTAAAGGACAAGTCATTTCAGTTTGTCTCAGGTGAGTTTTCCATTTTATTGACATCTATAGAACCATGCATCAGTATGCAATGTCAAAGCCAGTATAATGCCAGAACCAAAATTACCCATCTCATTTGGAAAACCCATTCAGTAAATGGAAGTATCTCTGTGGCGGTTTACCTCAAAGATGCCCTGGCTGTAGCGCTTCTCTTGTGTGTAGGCGAATCCCAGGGTGAGAACCCGGTCAAACCAGCCTTTCAGGATGGCAGGCACTGAGAACCAGTACATGGGAAACTGAAATAAACAAAAGTGTTTGTCAATGTTTGAATGCACTGTGCTTTAAAAAGGGCCTTTTTTTTTAGGTTTAAAATTTCACTTTCTGGTGGGAAATTGTGACATCACACTAGGGAATTTCATTGAATTTCCTCAAATGTGCACAGAAATAATTTTCTGACAAATACTGTATAAGAAAAAACGTTTAAGTTACTGTTGAATATTTAAAGTAACAAAAAATGTGCGTGTAAATTATGTCAAATTTATGGGCAGAAGAAGAGTTACAATTCCACTTCTTGTAACCTCATTTTTCTTCACAAACTGCTTCTTGATTCATGTAAAGTATCATTTATATTTAACAGGTTTTATTCCACCAAATCAAAACTAGTGATCAATCAAAACCTGTCCTACACACTTTCAAATAGTCTCCATAGCTTGCCTGAAATATGATGAGATCTGCTTCTTTGACTTTGCGCTGTTCCTCGGTGATGTCCGCACACAGCCGGCCTTCCTCCCATGCCACTTTAGTCTCCTCTGCATAGCGGAAGTGCTCAGCATTCTTCACCTCGCCTGCAAAAAAGTGAAATCCATAATTCAGAAGAGGTCCAAGAGAGGGCTACCCTGATCTATTTGTAATGCTGGTGGGGCAGTCTTCCTCCTCACCGGTGATGTCTTCGGCTGTAGCAGTGGCTTTGAACTTGATTGCGTACAGGTCGGACACTTCCACCGTACAGCCCTGGGACTTCAGAACCTCCACTGCAGCATCTTTGGCAGCTGCACTGAATGAACCTGGGCTTTGATGAGCATACACAATCAAGACTTTGACTGCTGTAAGAAAGAAAACGACAATGTTAGAGGGGTGGATTAAATATAGAATGCAGTGGTGGAAGTAGTAATGCATTTTGTTATGACCTTTTGTATATACTACAGCCAAGATTTTCCATTTTATTTTGACTTTTACATAATTATGCCTTATTTGACACCCGTCTTTTGCCATCTTTTTTGTTACTATTTAGAATTTATTACCATTTATATTTTTACTCTCTTGTAAACCAATAAAGGTTGAAGTCAAAACTTATTTTGTGAGTAAAAGTACAGGTATTGGAGCAGAAAAAAGGTTCTCGGTCCAAGATAAAGTTAAAAATATGCTAGAGTAATGTAAAGTATATTGTGATCTAGAGCTAATAAAGCTTGAAATGTAGTGATTTTGACACAGATTTGTCCTGGATTTTGTTCAACAGAAACAAGTGAATCATTTTTTTGTTTTCCTAGTGGTTTTTCCATGTATATTTTTGTTTGCTCAGACTACAAATATGTTCAAAATAAACCTTCAGCCTTCTCAGCAGGTCTCAGACTGAATGAAAATTCCTTTAACTTTTCAGTCCTGTTCAAAAATATAGGGGTAGAAAGTAAAAGTAAAAAGTATCCACTTTAAAATCCACTTAAGGGAAGTACAGAGATCTAAAATGAATACTTAAAAAGGTGCACCATCTAACTTTTTGGTTGAGAGTCTGTGACCTGCTTGTTTCTATGGATAAATCATTGCTCTGCCTAGAATGTTCCACAGTATGACATTAAACAGCTCTACCTTACATTTATTCACACATTTATTTAGCTCTCAAAATTACCTAGAAAAACAGATATTTGATTGTGAGCTGGGTGCCGTTCTCCAGATCTTACCAGTAACTTTGTGTGGTTTGGTCTCTGATGATTAAACAGTTTAATGCCATACTGTGGAATATTCAGACAAAGCAAGAAGATCTAAAAGTAGTGAAGCATTTGACCCTTGACACTTGATCAGAAAAGTTACACAATGCACATTTATGTACTTAAAGAGTAAACATTTTGTTCAACAGAAACAAGTACTGACTTTTTTCCTGGGTGTTTTTCTTTGTCTATTTTTGTTTGCTCAAACTGAACATGTTAAAAAATACCCCTTCTACTTTTACTTTTCAGTCCAGATCAAAAGTGTAGTGGACTAGTGGAATGAAGTAAAAATAAAAAGTATCCCCCATAAAATGTACTCAAGTGAAGCACAGATACCGAAAATGTTTACTTAAATCTATACAAATTTATACAGTGCTTTACTACAACATTTGTTTCATTACATTCCACCACTACACACACACACAATACAATATTGATGTGATCTGAATATGTCTCACCCATTTCAACGCCAGCAGCGACAGCTTTCAGAAGCAGCTCCTTTCCAAACCCAGTGTGTTTTTATGCTGCTGGCCATTGGCTCAGGCTCACTCACACAGGTGCTGTCAATCACAAGTCAATAAGCTCATGCACAAGAAGACCTCCAGTGACTCCTGTGCTCATATCTGGAAGACATTTCTCCATTTTGAGCCAAGATTATGCTGTACAGTTGTGTGTATGTTGTGTTGGGGAAGCCAGCTGCATACTATTTTGTACTTTAATCACAGGATAAACTCACAATAGTCTTCCTGCTTTCCAGCTGCTACTTGAGGCAAAGCTTTCCTAATTTTTTGGAGAAAGAGTGCACCTTTTTACTCAAACCAGACTGAATCATATCATAGAAACCCAGTCTGCAGAAATGTACTTATGTTGGAGTTTATTTAGTTCTGTGTGAGCTCTTCTCAGGAGTGAATTCTCAAATCAATCCAATCCAACTTTATTTATATAACGCATTTTACCAACAAAGTCTCCAAAGTGCTGAGTAGGCACAATATAAATGAACACACTAAATAAAATAAAGCATAAAAACTAAATAAACAAGTCAATAACAACAATAAAAGTAACAAAGAAAATCAATAAAAGACTCACAAAATGAATTAAGAGGATTCACTATGGAAGCAGTAACCATAGCGATAATAACTGGAAAATGTATATAGCTTTTTATTGATAAAGTATCATGTTTTAACAATGACCATATTGAAAGGTCTGTGTGTAATTTGCTTTAAAGGAACTGTAGATAGTTTTTTGTGTATTACAATCACAACTGAAACTCTTACCAGTGGCTTAGGCTATGTTTATATGATGTCGGTTTGAACAGAAGACACAAAAGTGGTGTCGCGTCTTCACTTTTTATTCCGCGTTTAGACAAGTGTTTTCGGGAGGAAATTTGCGTGCATACAGTGACGTAAAACTGTGTGGAGTTTGATTGGGTATGCATGCCAGGTTTCTGTGTATACAACTGTATGTATGTGACATAAACTGGTATGCGACGTAAGCAGATCTGACCAGAAGTTTGCGTCTTGGGCAGTGTAGACAGAAACGCTAGGGCGGAGTGTATTCAACTTTTCCACTCTGGAGGGTGGTTTCATTTTTGGGGGTTTTAAGCCCCAAAAATGCCGCCACCATCTAAACAAAAGGCAATTCCTATAAAATATTTTGTCGTTTTTACCCACAAGCATTCTCATGTAAACAGGCCCTTAACCTGCAGATAAAGGACACATAAACGTTTTCTCAGCAGCATAAACAGCAGCAGAGGCACTGTTTAGTGAGTGGCTGCAGGTGCTGGGCTTTAGGTAGTGAGGCCTCCTTTTTAGATTTAGACCAACTGAATTTCATCATTGAAACTGGCAACCCAAATGAGAGATTCATGGGATTTCCGCTTTTTGATTGGATCATCATGTTTGCCTTCCATAATCCGAGAATGAGAAAACTTGTATGTGTTTTCTATCTGCAGGTTAAGGCACTGGCAGCCCTGGTTTAGTTGCGTTTGTAATACTGCTTTAAAGACTGCAAACAATTCCTTTAATTTGAAACATTTGAAGTAAGTAGCTCTCTAGAATTCACCACCAAGGTTGATCAAAATGTACACATATTAAGAGATTATATAAGACATTATTTTATGCAGCAGCAAAAGCTTACTTCTGAGAGTGCACTACCTAAAAAAATCTGCGTCTTGAAATTTGAGCCTTTTCATTTTAAGCCAATAGCCTATGTGGTCTTTGGCTGCATACAGTCTGCATTATCATAATGTGCCATTGCACCATGTCTCCAAACCACATGAAGGTGATTGGATAGAGCGCTCCTCTCACCCTCTCCTTCTCCTTCTCCCGCTCTGTTTTCCTTTTGCGTTACTACGTACTCTCCACAAGTAAGAAACTGTTGTCTGCGGTCAGGCTCCACTCACGAACACTGCCCTGTAAAAGTAAAGAGAGGGAAAGGAGGAGCAGTGGGCATCAAAGTCAAACACGAGCTGGCCAGGCTGGCACACATCTGGAGCCATAATCAATGCGGACGTCCCATAGACTAGAAGCAGCCACTGTGGGGAGGGGCTAATGAAGAACCGCTGTACTAGAGTGCTTCATACACATAAAAGCATCCCGCAAACTCTGGACATCTGGAGTCACGATTGAGGTACCAAAAAGTAGAGATACAAGGAGATATTTGGAGTTTATAGTATATCGGCTATCAGTTTCAAAGATTCATTGTGGAGGGTCTGTCAAATGCTTTTCTCCATGAAGATGTTTTTGCTTGGTCTGGAATGTTTCACATTTTGGTATTAAACCTTTCTATCTTCATGGAGAACAAACCAGACCAAGTTACAGGTCAGATCTGTGGAGAGGCAACCTCACTCACAGTCAGAATGCATGTTTTTCAGGGTATTTTGAGCTGTAAATCCACCTGTAATTGAATAAATGTAAGGAAAAGCAGTCATACAGTGGAACATTCTAATAGCCTGATTCTTTAGCTGGTTACATTTCATGGAAACTGTCTGACCTCGCAGTGTTAGAATTTGTTCGCTCGACCATTTGCTGGTATATTAAGCTTTTCCCAAATCCTGTAGGAAGAAGGGCAATAACGTCTTTCCTCTTGATAAAATTCACCAAACAATCTCTTTGTTCAGGCTTTAAAAAATCGATCTCGGTAATCATTGCCAACACAAAAGGTATGGCTCTTCGCTGATTGGCTGGTGCCCGAACTCGCCTTTCCGGGGTTTTTGCGAACCATCTAGTGTATTCCGATTCCTGACCTACTCGCTGGAGAGAAATGAAATTGAGTAGAGGCACTAGGTGGCGCCAGCCTGGCTATTATTCTAGGCAGAGCAATGACATATCCATAGAAACAAGCAAAAAGTTAGCCTACATAGTGCACCTTTAAAACTCCAGCACAGGTCATCGCCGATATGAGGTTCTGTCAATTAGCTGTCTAAAAATACACACAAAGCTTTATTTTAACAGTTTAATACAAGATAACTGTGCTATATATGATACACAGCTTTCTTAAAGGTTTGAGATTAAAAAAAAAAAAAGTTTGGGTGAGTTTGTAATAAATTTAAATGACCAAATTTTAGGAAAATAATCTAAATCGGCCCTATATATTGGCCCAAAAATATCGGCATATTTTATCGGCCGTCGTCTGCTCAACTGGTATAGGAATCGGTCATGATAAATAGCGATCAATCCCTCTAATGATATTGTTGTGTAAGATTATGTATGTGGTTCATTTGTGCTTGAGTGTGGCTTTCCTGTTGTTCACACCATGACCACACTATTAGCGTGATACATTATGTTTTTATTATCTGCCCTCTGGCCCAAGTCTGCGCTCTCCTCACCGCTAAAACAGGATCATGTGTTTTCCCCTGAAGGTGGGTGAGGTGCGTGCTGATTTGTGGGCTACGCGATATCCTGCGTTTGTGTTCTGACAAGTTTTGACACGAAATCCAAAACCGCTCCTGATCACCTCACAAAGACGCGAGAGTTTGGAGAGACGAGAAGTGATTTCAAAAAGGGACAATTGTGCCATCTTGTGGTGAGTTTGTACATTGCAAGTAGACACCCCAGCCTGACTGAGAGCGAATTGATGAAACAAGTATGAGCCTTGAGTGCAATGAAAACTATAGACCAATAACTTTAAAGTTCCTATATTACGCAAAATTTGACTCTTGTCAGCTTTAAATCATGATATAATGTTGTTACATCATCAAAAACATACAAAGACTTGTGTTTTGCCTCATTCACACATGTTTGAGTAATTCTTAATTTTTAGTTTGTCTGTCTCCAAAGCTTAAAATGCTCTGTTACACCTTGTGATGTCATGTAGTGGTAGTTTTTAAGTTAACAGCTACCTATTAGCTGTAGTTCAGTAAAGATTGGAAACTCCAGGGCTGAAATTATCCAAATGATTCTCGTGAAGGTGGATGGAGTTTAAATACACAGTGGAGCACTCCCTGTATTACCACATGACATCACAAGGTGGAGTAGAGTGTTTTCTGTTTGAGGGAAGAACCTAAATATGCAGGGTTTTTGTGTTTGTCAAACATGTGTGAACAAAACAAAACACAACTCCAGATATGTTTGTGATGAAGAAGCAACATTATAACAGATCAGAAAAAAATGTAACATGGGCCCTTTATGCTGCAGATCTGTAGACACAGAAATTATTTAGGTTGTCTTTCACAAGATATTTATTATGAAACAAAAAAAGTATGGGTTTGACTTCCTGAAATAAGTGACAATTTTTTTTAGATGTTCTGTATGTTGATACTTAAATATCTGTTTTTATTTGTAACTGGTTCATTTCAAACTAGAAGTCAAATTTATTGTTGATTATGTCTTTGAAGTGTTTCGCTCTTAACAATTTGAAATGAGATTTGTGTGTTTAACAATATTCATTTTAGCTACCCCCATCTGTAATAAATAAATAAATTAAATTAAATATTATTGGGCTACAAAAAAAAAAAAAAAAGTTTTCTTCTTCCCACTTCTTTTTGGGCAAAATTTTGGTTATAGTTATTTTCATTTCTATTATGATTACACTTATGTTATATGTTCCATTGTATAAGAATCTTTACTTGCCCAAAATAAATGCTTTTTTTTAAAAGTTAAAACAGCTACAACATCTCCCCGCTCTCATCTCGTGCCTTGTTGTGGTAAAAACACACTCCAGTCTCATTCATGGCACACGTACAAAACCTTTGCAGGACGTTTAAATGCACCTTGTAAAAATAACAATGTTCAGAATTTAAAACAATGACACCATCAAAACAATAGGGGGTGTCAGTGAATCTCAAAATAATAATGTTTACATTAATTCACAACAATGATTTGTAACTGTAAATTAATTCATCATGTCTCTCACACTTAGACTCCATCAAGCTCTAAAACATCACGCTATTGTTTTTATTTTATTGCCATTGACACAATCGAAATAGTGTCCAAAATACTCAGAATAAGCTTCTCATTATATCAAATAAAACTATATTTTACAAACCAGTCTGTTGTTTACTCAGTTTGTTTACACTACTGGGATCCTACTCTGTTTATTTATGTCAGAAGCGTTGCCAAATATGTCAGAGGTGCGGAGGAGCAAAGTGACCAACAGTTTCACAGATGACGGCTGTAAACTCCCTGATTTTTTGGCAGCACAAGGCCGTTATGAATCAGCGGCTCTGAAACCTTTAAATTTACTCTGTCTGTCATTTTAATAATCAGGGATATTTAGAGCAGATTTTTTTATGTATTCCACGCCACACTTTTACAGTATATGACAAAATAAAACTATATTGTCCTCAAGGGCTGGAATTAATTATGGTACATATGTAAATTGTATAAATAATCAAATCTATCTAATTAGCCTACGAGTGAACAGAGGCCCATAATCATCAAACTGGTGTCAGAGCAATGGTCTTATGTATTCTCTCAGGTTTCTTTATAGTGACTATTGTGAAATTATAGTTTAAAAATTAATCATTTTTACAGCCTTTTAAATCACTCACTCCTTTGGAAAGAAATACAACAGATCGGCCCTGCAGAGTCTATAGAGCCTATAGAGCGATGCATGTAAAATATATGAGCAGGATGTACAGATGCAGCTCTGGCCTTTAGACAGATGGTGTCCAGACTGAGCGGAACATGGGGGAGGACATGAAGTGAGCAATACATGAAAATTCATGTTTGGGTAAATGTCTTAAATCCTGTAGGGTACAGATTACAATTGTTCATGATATTAAAAAGCTAATTTACAATTTCCTCATTCATAATCTTAAATAGTGTAATCTGCTGTATGGTATTTAATAAAAATACTCTGAAATAAAAAGTAGTTTCTCACATGCAAATTCAAAACATCAAATACACCTTAATTCACACATCAACAGCTACAACAGATCTGACAGTGCACACATACAGCACAGTTCAATGTTTGATTACCTCACAGGGACCAGCAGAGGGAGTTTATACATCACCCTTTGCTCAGTGTCACATTCAGTGTCAGAAACCTGTCATCACATGAGCTCCATCATTTTTTGGTTAGTGTTTAATTTTTAAAACAATGGCAGCTAAAATCCACCAAAACCCCAAATGAGTCAAATGCAATGGTGTGGACTTTACTGTATTTATGTTATATATATTGGGCACAAACCCAGATTGGTGATGAAAGTCCCCTTTTTAAAGTTCCTCCCATAAAAAGGTGAATAAATTGTGTATCTTCTTCTGTTAAACATGGGAATTACTGTATGTGTGATATCACTTATTTCCGTGCCAAACTAATAAAGATATGTCAAATAGAATTCTCTTAAACTATTATTATTACTATTACTACTACTACTACTACTACTACTACTACTACTACTAATACTATAAACTACTATTACTACTATTTACGTCAAACAAATCTAAACTGTTTCACAAATCTGAATAATAAGCAGTAGTAGATGCGCGGACATCTTGTGGCTTTGTGCGTCGCGTCACAGACTGGGGGTTTTACGCACAGCTGTGCAGGCGGGGCCGCATGAAAGGACCAGACAAGACTGAACTCTGTCGATGAAAAAGGCTCAGAGGAAGTACACGGGGAATATTACACTAGCCCTAAATTTGACATTACTACATCAAGACCGAGTGAGGAAAGTACAGCTTCGAGGGACAACTTGGGAACACTTTTCTGATTATTTCCCCCCACTTATTTCTGTTTTTTCATGTAGATCCAACGGGAAGGCAAGTTTGTTTGCTTGTTTGTTTGTTTGCTTGCTTGCTTGTTTGTTTGTTTGTTTGTTTGTTATTTTACTTCACTATAAGTTGCTCTTTAAGATGACTGTGTGGGAGAACTACTTTCTACGCTTTAAAAATGTGGACACGGGGATTTTCTTGACTAATATTTGACTAAACTAAGCGTTGCCTAAATCTTCTTAACAACTTCAAAATAAAGGACTGACAAATTTTAACTAAATGTTATTGGGTATGTGATAAGCATATATTTTTTAAATGATGGTGGTCAAATATTATGTTGTATATTACGTTCAGCACGTCGGACAGCGCCAGTGAGTAAAGTGCCGTATTTGTCCGCCACTAGAGGCCAGCACAATCGCACCCTGATGTGCTCCGTACCGGGACCACCACTGCCAAATTGAAGGCCAAATCTTTACGCATTTATACATTTGCTTTGCCTTTACTGTATGAACTCAAGAGTCTCATTAAACAGATCCATGTATTTCTTATATTCTTAACCTTAAGGCAACAAAATGATGCTGACTTCGGACCAGACCTTGCTGTGGACCGAGACAACCTCATCAATGGGCCTCGGAGGACGCATGCCCAGTCAGAGCAGAGAGGAAAGGAGACGGAGGAGGCGTGCCACCCCCAAGTACCGCTGTGCGCACGCGAGCAGAGAGCGCGTTCGTGTCTTGGCTTTCAACGTGGCCTTTGCTGAACTCAGAAAACTGCTCCCCATCCTGCCTCCAGATAAGAAACTGTCCAAGATAGAGATACTCAGACTGGCCATTCGTTACATTTCATACCTCACTCACGTGCTGGATGTGTAAAAACTGGACACAGAAGGACAGAATTTTAAAATATGGCCTGTTAAAAAAAAACCCAGTGGTTTTCTAAGCAATGTCGTTTACTAATGTGCATTTTGAATATTCTATTTTGCACTTATTTTTTGTATTTCTCTTTATTTATTTGAAATCATTGTTAATATATTTTACACATATTTATCACTTTATTATATTAAACTTCTTGAGCAAATACAGGTCTGTGTCTGGTCCATTATGCGGCTCTGCGGGTTCTTACAGCCTTCAGCCTACTCATGGCCAGAGGTTGTGTGTTTTATGAGCTCAGGATGTGGACGGCTCTTTACTTCTCCTCTCCATTAGTCACTCTGTGCTCTCTTTGTGTGTGCCTCTGTGCGTAATGTGGCTCCAGGGGGCTGCGGTATTGTTCATGTCCACTCCAGCAGCAGCAGTGACAGGTCTTTGTGCACTCTGCTCTGCACTTCCGGTATAAAAGCTCCTGTTTGCTCAAAATCTGAAACAGAATTTAGGAATTTACATTTTAAATCGATTTTTTCCTTCCATTTTAACAGTTAAAGTAATTTGTTAAATATTAAATAGGCATATAGGCCCCATTGTTATCTCAACACAAATAGCCTACCATGGGAAAAGTGTAACGGAGGCTTTTTAAAATATATATATCACTGAATAACCAAAGCGTAAATAAGAAGTTAGAACTTTTGCTGTCTCACGATAAAGACCCATGGTTTGATTTTAAATGATTTTAGAGAAGCCGATTATTAACTGAATATTATATTGCATATTATTTTATGGAGGCAAGTAAGACCCTCATATTAAAAAAAAAACATGAGTCATTTAGACCCGAGTGGATTTATTTGTTGATAAAAAAAAAAAATGTCATGTTTTACGCATGCAACAATCTGCCGTAAACCGCGTCCTCTAGCGGTGAGTGCTGAGAGATTGAGCGTGTTGGTGCACTTGTGAGCGTACCTCGGCGCTGCCTCCCTCTGTGGTTTTCGCCACAATGGCCAGGCTCGTCTGAAGGAGCTGCTGCCGGAGCAGAGACGCCCTTCCCAGCAGAAAAAAGCGCAGCGTTTGGCGACACACATCCTCCCCCCACACCGGGACAGGAAAAAGATGGGGGCACACATGTGAAGCAGAAATACGGTAGGTGGACCCCTTTTATGTTATTTTATGTCCACTATTTAGCATGATTTTACCGGCTTGTACCCTGACAGCGAATAGCCCGGGGTACAACACCCCTCAAGAATTAATGATGAAGTTCATTGGTGCTATTGGGTTTTGCACGGCTCCTCATGATACCCGACCACTGTGCTGCTTTTACTTCATTATGTCCCCTTGACCTGAATACACTTTGGGTTATTATTTGCATTATTTTACGTTCAATTCACCAGTTATTGTTTAATTTGCACGAAACAGTGTCCGATTGTAACGTCGCTGATCTCATTGCTTCAGGATGAAAGCGGATCCATTGTAACCGAGACCGCTACACGGGGGATAGCATCTACTACAGTCGGTTTCGTTGAGCCAGTAGGTTTTAAAAAAAAAAAAAAAAAAGAGGCTTATGCTGCCCTTTTCCCTCTCGGTGTGGTGGTGCGTATCGCCATCATCACCAGCTGCCTGGAGGATACAGTGCACGCAGCTGGACGGTGGGGCGTAATGCGAATGAATGAATGGAAAAGCTCATAGTCTCAGAGGGTCACTATGGCGTACTGTATTATTTAAAAACGCTGATAGGTCTTGGCAGAGAGGGTTAAGGTCAGATCTGTGGAGAAAAGGATAGCAGTCAGTGTTATTTTAAGCATTTTGAACACGTTATTTTTTGTTAAGTATTGTGCTTAAGCCAGGTGGTAACAATACAGTGTCAAACTCTGAGTAAAGAAAGGTCTATCAAAATAAAAGCCTATATCAAAACTAGATTAAAAAGTCTCTCAGCTGACTGAAAGAAAAGTCAGCATCTTCTGTTGGATTGTCAAAATTAAGGGTCAGATCTCAAACTGTAAACTATCAATCCAGACACATACAGTTTTATCAGCTTATCGTAAACAAACTGAGTTCGAAATAGAAAAATGTTTATTTGTTTTGACACATTTTCTCATTGGTAATATTTACGTTAGCACATAGCTGACCCTTTTTTAGTTCCAGTTGAGTGAACAAGATGTTAAGTTTGCATTCCTGAGCCGTGCGTCAGATCTTTACTTTCTCCTTTTACTGCAGCTTCTGTGAAAATGCAGGGTGTGAGTGAGAGGGCAGAGAGGGGGCGTGCCAAGGACCCTCAGCTGTCTCCTAAGAATCTAATGTTTTAATTATTTCCTATATGTAAACAGTGATATTGATGTTTAGCAATGAAGTCCCAGGTGTTTATTGCAACTAATGGTGGTTCTAAGAATTTAAAGGTCCTATATTACACAAAATTTATTCCATGTTATAATGTTGTTACCTCCTCAAAACATACCTGGAATTTTGTTTCAGTCACACATGTTTGAGTAATCCTTTATTAATAATCTCATCTCCTAAACTCTAAATGCTCTGTTCCACCTTGCGATGTCACGAAGCAGTAGTTTTCAAGTTACATTTTCAGCTACATTTTATCTTGTTTAGCAGAGATTTTGAGAAAATTCCCAGGCTGAAATTATCTAAATGATTCTAGTGAAGGTGCATGGAGTTTAAAAACACAGTGGAGCACTTCCTATATTACCACATGACATCACAAGGAGCAGAGTGTTTTCCATTTGAGAGAAGAACTCAGTCTAAATATGCAGGATTTGTGTAATGAACTGTGTGAATGACAGAAAACACAACTTCAGGTATTAGGCATGTAACAATAACCGAAATATTGTGATATCATATCGTCAAAGTTCTCACAATAATATCGTGGACCATCACAATATATCGAATTACAAGTCTCTTTGCTTAAATTAAGAGTTATGATGCAGCAATAGCTAAAAAAAGACAGAGGGAACTACATAGACAAAATTTGGCCCACAATATAATTATATTTGGCCCGCGAGATCATATCAAATATGTATAAGAGCTGACCCGCCGGCTATATATAGGCTATAGAGACATTTATTTAAAATTTTCAATGTTTAACCAAAACTATTATTAAACATTTATTTTAAGAAAAGGTTTAACATGACATGTCTTGAAAGAAGAGAAAACATGCAGATGTTGTTGAAATTTTTCAATAAATATTTAGTTTGGCCCACAACTTAGTCCCAGTTTTTAATTTTGGCTCTCTGTGAATTTGAGTTTGACACCCCTGACTTAGACTATGATCCTTTGCTCCATTTCAGTGTGGACTACAAGAAGAAATAACAGTTCTAAGGACTTTTGAGTCTTAATATTTTGGATTAAGTCTTGTCAAGGCATTTTAAGAGGAAAAGTAGCATAGTAGCAGATTTAGCCTCCACAAAATATCACAATAAATCGTACTGTGAGATGTATATCGTGAAAATATTGTACTAAGAGATCTGGATATTGCTACATCTCTAATCGTGAGCCTCCCCACCAATATCGTGAGCTTTTAAATATGGCACCGTGAGGTTCATACCGTGACGATATCGTATCATGAGATGTGGATATTGTTACATTCCTATCAGGTATGCCTTGTTAAGGAAACAACATTATAAAATAGATTAAAAATAGTGTAATATGGGCCCTTTAAGCTTAACATGTCCAAAATTGGAGCAAGGGGTCTATAAAGTGAGACAAAGGTCTGTGTCCAAGGGCAGTTCGTGTGGAATTTTTGTAGGCCTACAGCTTGTGTGATCTGAGTGGAGCAGTAGTGCTATTATATCAGCAGCTGTCCCTCTGGGTTATCTGAAGTCTGAGGAGAGATTGGAGATGGCTATCACTATAAATATCCCCTCACAAAGACGTTCACTATTCGAATTAACAGAGGTTTTACTATAGGCTTAGAGGATTGTCTTTCTCTCTCTGCTCGTTTTAATTAATTTGGTATTTTAAAACTGGTCTGGCTTTCACAATTCTTTGCATTGTGCGTTTTGGTGTACAGATGAGCAGTGGTCGTTGTTGTAGCAGGTAGATGATCACATGGCATCAAAGGCATGTTTAATACAGACAGGAGGACAGAGCTAATGTGGAGAGGGCGCAGATGTCATGGAGACCAAAACTCGCCATGTGTTCGGCATAAGGCTTTGAGGCCGACTTTGGAGCCAACGTGGTATCAGCTCTAACAGGCTCGAGCCGCTCATGGCTGGATAAATATGAAATAACTGTTACATCTTGGCCTGTCACGATAACACATTTTGAAACACGCTATATTACTGCAAAAAAACATTGCGAAAAATGATAATACTGAAACTTATTTATGCTACAATAACCGAAGAGCAAATTTAAACTAAACTAAAACTATTCTAAATGTATGAATGAGCTGCATTAAATAAACAGCAGAATGAAACACTTTAGTACTTAGTTTGCCTCATGGAAGGTACAAATTCAATCTTCTATGTCTTAAATTGTATAATATTGACAAAAAATAACCAAACATTTCCCAGTAGAGTAACGAAAATGTGCACACAATAAATATTGACCTTGAGCTTTCATATATTGAACGATACGTCAATATACTTTTTATCGTGACAGGCCTAGTTATTAGGGATGTAACAAAAAATGAAATATTGTGATATTGTATCGTCAAGATTCTCACAATAATATTGTGGACCCTCACAATATATCGAATTACAAGTCTCTTTGCTTAAATTAAGAGTTATGATGCAGCAATAGCTAAAAAAAATACAGAGGAAACTACATAGACCATGATCCTTTGCTCTATTTCAGTGTAGACTACATGAAGAAATAATGGTTCTAAGCACTTTTAAGGCTTAAATTCTTTGGATTAAGTCTTGTCAAGGCATTTAAGAGGAAAAAGTGGCATATTAACGTTTTGTTATAATAAATATCGTACCGTGAGATGTATATCGTGAAAATATCGAACCGAGAGATTTGGATATTGTTACATCCCTAATCGTGAGCCTCCCCACCAGCTTTCCCACGATATCGCAATAAATATCATGAGGTTCATACCGTGATGTTATAATTTTTTTTAACAACTGTGAATAGTTTAGTATTGAGTTGTAGAGCAAGTCAGACAAATACGTGTAAAAAAATATATAATAATTTTTTCATGGTTTATGGTTAATACCTTTGTTGGGCCCATTGTATGAAACAAAACCTGGTAAAAAGTTCAATCTGTTCTACTGTGTATCAGCCAAAATTAACCAAGGTGAATTTTAACTTTAGTATAAAAATATAGTCTAATTGTCAGTTAAATTCTTTTTCATTCAACATAATAAAACATAATCTCTAAAACTATGGCATAAACTTTCACGAATTAATATGAATACACAAAACCAGCTCAAAACCCTTGCTCAAACAAAAATGGGTCACTCTACAATTTGTGTCTCTTTGATTTAATGCATCTGTCACAAAAATTATACATTTGTTGAAATACTGCAATAAAGTCTTTGAAATACTATAATGAAATATCTGTATCTAAGAACTATTAACAACACCGAGAGGATATTTTGCAGAAACCGTCCCCAAAGGCCTTTCACTCGTACATGGCTCCCACTGCGTGTCCGACTGAATGCGCTAAACAAACACACTAATCAGAGTTTGTTTTACATTAGTGTCACTTTCTGCTCTCGTGACTCCCTTCGAGGTGCAGCCGACCAGAACGCTCCACAGTGACGTACCCGCGCTCGTACAGACCCCTCTGCCCCATCAAAGCGGGGCTGCAGAATCTTTCTAACTCGAGGAGGAAACCGTACTTCCCTTTCGCTCTCTCTGTCTCTCTCTCTCTGTCTTACCCTGCATCCTTTATTCATAACTATCCGTGGGTTTGTAATTGATAGTTTTTTTTACCCCGTGGTGCAGATTTTCCACATGGCCTGGTTCACTATGGCCCTTCATGCTCTTCTCTTGGCTCAGTGCCTCTTCAGTATATGATTGTAACCCACATATCCCCCATAGATCAGCACTCATGGGGTTAACAGCTTTATTCAAACCCAGGCTTTTTGAATATAACCATTTTAGTCCAGAGGTATTGTTTGCCCTCTCTCTTAGCCCCTCTCTCCTATAAAGAGGCCTATAACACACATTTACCCTCAGTGGGGTGATTGATTATTGCTGCTTGACGGGGTCCCCTGCCTCGACTGTTGCCGCGGTAACAGTGGATGCTGCAGTGATGGGTTGGCGATGAAAGATGGCTGTCTTCTGTCATGACTCTCTTGTTTCAAATTGATGCTCTGAGTTGTGAGGAGCAGGTTGGTCCATTTTCATTTACACTATTTACTTTAGCATATTGCCAAAAAATGCTGAAATATTGTTGCTGATTTCATATATTGAACTATGAGTCGTATTTATTGTGACTGTCACAATAATTGCTATATCGATTTATCGTATATGGAAGTTGGGACAGTATATTTTGGGTGGTCAGTATTTATGGCATGTACATTTTCTTTGTAAAAGTGGGGAGATTTGGGATATTTTTTGTTGTAATACGATAAGATTTGAGCTATAAAAGTTTAAATAAGTGACTTCTATGGCTATTTATTGCTACATTTTGTTGTGCATTTGTTGGCCTTTTAATCATACTGTCTATTTAAAAATGGTTTACTTGAATTGTCTTGCATTCTTGTATCGTTGATCGCAATTTATCTCTGTACAAATATGTCATACTTCCAAATTTGTTATTGTGACAGGCCTATTGGTAAACCTGCAACACAAGACAAACTGGTGCTGAATGTTTTTATTACAATTGAGCTGAAATAGGAAAGCTTTTGTTTGAAATTCAATAATTTCTTATTATCACAGAGTCTCAATAGGTTCATATTAAATCTGTGTAAAGAAACAAAGAGGTTCTGAAAGCATGTGATGGCTAAAAAGGCTCTTCATACTGTACTTTCTGAGTATGTTCATTTACGTTTCTACTGATTATATGTTTTATGTATATATGTAAAAACTGCATATATATGTTACTATAATCTGTCTTTAATAACAGCAGTATAATCTTGTAAATAATGTGAGAAGGATAATCCCAGTTAGTTAGAGACTCACCCGTGGCCGTTAACAGGCAGGTGGTTGTCAGGACAACAGCTGGGAGACAGACACAGAGTAGATTAAGGACTGAAAGGACGGTCATGCATGGGGAAGCACTTAGGCACATACATTAGGGCGCATGCATTAGAACCCAGAGACGGGCACGTGTGTTTGTGTGTTTCAGGGCAAAGCATCAAAAGCCTGACATAGATGGATACTGTAGCAGGCTGCTGGAGTGAGGAGGTCATTAATGGAAATGGGCACGTTTTGGAAATGATGATGGATGGCCCTGCTACATGCTCAAAATGAATCTTTAATATCCACACATCTTTGTCTTTTAAAGAAAAATTTAAGATTTGCTGACTTTTATGATATTACTACTTTTATTAATACTAATTAGGAAAAGCCCAGAAGGGCTAAATGTGTGACTTTGTTCACTCCTTATTATTTGTGTGTTTTCAGGTCCATGTGGGTCCCAAACAAGCCCTCGTGCTGGATCTCAGTTGCTGTTGCTTCATCAAGTCTGTCTCTATAGCAACCCATCTCTCTCATTGAGTGTTGGAGCTACCCCACTTTTTACACCTCCTCTGCTCCCCTCTCCTCTACACTGGCCAATCAGACGCTCTGAGCCAACATGGACACAGAGTCCACTCACTCAGGCTACTCCAGCCGCTCTGGCAGGTCCAACCGACACACGTGAGTATTAGCTTTGTTTTGATCAACAAAACTTAGACTAAATATCATCATAAATACTTGTACCATAGCTGAAAAATCTTTGTATGTACACTATGTATATATACACTTTTGGTGTAGGTTAAAAAATACATGTTTTATGGGAGGAGACAGAAAACAGCTTCAGCACCACAGAGCAGTCACACAAACCCATTACAGTGATTCACTGCAAATGAGAAAATGTCCCCCTTGCTGTCAGAGCCTCACACCTGCGGTACAGACAAGAATATAACACCTTCAGTTTCCATACAGGCTCTGTTAGGAGTGCTCTGTGTGACTCTGCACAGCCACAACACCAAAATATACTTGTTTGTCACAGTAGTTCTTACAGTATGGCCTAAAGTCTGAGATGATACAAAGGCTGTTCAGGAGAGTTGCCCATGCATATGTGTCTGTCATGTCTCAACATGCAACACTTTTCTACCCATTCAAGATGTGTATATATATATATATATATATATATATATATATATATATATATATATATATACACACACATATACATATATATAGATATATATATAGATATAGATATATATATATATAGATATATATATTCATATATTCATATATATATATTCATGGAAACGGACATAATTTCTCATTACCATGAAACACATGGATGTAAACAATGAAATGAGCTTTTGTTGAACTCCATGTTAAATGTATGTCACCTTTTTGTAGAGATAGAAGCCGTGAGCGACACAAGGCGAGCAGCAGTAAAGACAGCATTCGCTCCGAGCGCTCTGTGGTCTTAAACCCCCCTGACAGTCCATCCCAGGAGTCTCCTGTCCACAATGGAGATCCCCTGCCCGGAGACCCTGCTCCAGCTGCTGACCATGGGGACGATACACAGGTACAAAGACTCATATTGTGCTACAATTAGGGCTCTGTGTTTGTAACTACATTCCTCTGTGAATCATCACAAGACCTAATTTAATAGTTTACTTTGGACCTTGACCTTATAAAGTCACTCTCACAGCTGGCATCTCACTGACTGCTGTAATGACAGGGCATCTGAAAGGTTCAAGGTTAGACTCCCTCTCAGAATGAGATGAGACAGTGTAATCCTTGACCAGTTAAGATGACCACCGTCTAAACCTTCTCTACATTGTAAATGATATGCATATATCAAATCATCTTTTACTGTGACTGGATGTAAATGGGATTTCAGTGAGGCTTTTAATCATTTCTTTGAGTCCGGTCCTTTTTGTTCCTCTTCCTGGCATTCCTTTTTGGCATGGCCACCACATTCCATGCTGACTGTGATTGTCAGCTCATAGTGTCCATTGTGGCCAGTGTAAGTTAATCTACCATTGTAATAGCAGCCCCCTCCCCCAGTCAAATCATTCCAAACTGTGTAATACTGAAGAACTGACATTTACCACCACCACCACAGTTTTTTCCAAATCAAACAGAAAGGGCTTTTGGGAGCGACTCTAATGCTAACATCACAGAGACATTTCCACGAACTGAGATGAGCCAAGCGAACTGCACTTTTGGGAAAGCTGATATGAATAATTCTCAGTGTTTACATGCATGCCGATGACATAAGGCGGGAGTGTTGGGTGACAGCCCTGTGTCCCAGTGTGAGTGTGAGTCAGAGGAAGAGCGTCCATGTGCTTTGTTAGCTTTGAGCCAGAAGGCAGCAGCTTCAGTTTCCTTTAGATGTTCGCACCACCAAAGACTGTTTGTTTCATAGATGATGTATTCACCCCCAAACTGTCATGGTATTATTTCAGACTTATTTGGGGAAAAAGGCTAAAACACACATCAAGATTGTTAATTCCACTTAGCGTTATGTTTGTAGTTGGCAGCCTTAAATGTGCTAATGACTGCTGTTTTGTGATAGAAAAAGTGGCCAACCATTTTCCATTGAAACGTTGCCAGATAAGAACGGTGCCAAGCAAGCTGCAGCTCCAGTCTGCTTTAGTGTGTGTGTCTTCCACCTTAGTTTCATTATAGACAATAATCAGACAGACTTTAATATACAGGGAGAGTCCACAGATGTATCTATCAGCCGGTCTAAACAATGAGGGTTTGTGCAAATGGAAATGTTCAGAGAAATGCCGCCTCAAATAGGACAATAAAGATTACTCAAACATGCATGGACCCCTCAAATTACAATTTCAAGTAGATAATGATGTGGAGAAAACCTGGTCAAAAGCTCAACAAAGATGCATAATATATCTTCTTTAATAATAATAATAATAATAATAATAATAATAAAAATACCTGAAGAGACTGTACAAACAATACAATCAAAAAGACTGCATGTAAAAAACAAGGCATAATATAGGTATAAAAGCAGGTTAGACATTAAAAGCAGTTCTAAATAGATGCTTTTTGAGTAGATAAGATATAAATATATTAGTATTTCTAATAAATATATGATCAAAGACTATTATGTGAAATCTCAGCTGTGTGTGAGGAACTAGACTATTATTTGTAAGTCTTTTTCTTTGTGCGTGGAGCCCTGAAGCACTCCACCACATTTAGCTGACTTTGTAGTTTCTCCCTCCACACATGTACCAAGATATTGTTTTATTCCCAGTGGAAAGGCTCATTCACAGAAGTGGAGATACACATATTTTACCAATTAAAGAAGTAGGCAGTAAGGATGGGACAAGAGGCAATTTCTACAAGATGAGATGAGAGACAAGGTCGGGACCACGATAAGAAGAGAAGCCGAGATTTTGACTTTTTATTGTAATTGTGCTGTTCAGTTCACAATTTTAGTCATATAATTTTTCATTTTACTTTATTTAATATTCATCGTAGCACTGCTATTTGAAATTTAGTCATCGTAGCACTGCTATTTGAAACTAAAGCTTTTGCAGCACTTAACCCCTTCATCTGACAAGATAATTTTTCTCTTGTGTGCACAGTATTGTGGTAGGTTTGTCTTTCGAGATCTTGTAGCACGAGATTTTGTCCCATTCCTACCAGATAGGCTGTACAGTTAGAGGACGATGTTAACCAGACAGCTCAATGTCATATCTATCCATCTTTACTTAGCCCCTCCTCCACATTCGTCTGCTGCTTGCTTTTTCACTCTGGCTGAATTAATTGGGTGTGAACACTAATGGAATAGAGAATGTAAATGTAGGCCGGTAATTAGATCTAACAGTCAGATTTCACCACAAATAATGATGTTTTGAGATTGAATTAATGTGTTTATTTGGATTCTGGTATTAAAGGGCCCATATTCTGCTATTTTCTTTTCTATAATGTTGTTTCCTCAAACATACCTGGAGTTGTGTTTTGTTTCATCCACACGTTTAACACACAAATCCTCTTTCAAATTCTTCTTTCAAGCGGAAAACGCTTTGTTCCATCTTGGGACGTCATGTGGTAATACAGAAGTGCTCCACTGTGTTTTTTAAATTCCATACACCTTCACTGGAATCATTTGTATAATTCCAGCCCTGAAACTGACAATCTCTACTGAAGAAAACATAAAAGTAGCTGATAACTTGAAAACTGCAGCTGCATGACATCGTGAGGTGGAACAGAGCATTTTGAGCTTTGGAAATGTAGAGAGAATATAAATAAAGAGTCACTTAAATGTGTGAATGAAACAAAACACCACTCTGGGTATGTTTTTGAGAAGGTAACAACATTATAACATGGCTTAAAGCTCACAGGAGTCAATTTTGCCTAATATAGGACCATTAAACATGGGTTTTTTAATTGTATTCAAGAGCACATATGTGAGTCACTAAAAGCTCCTGGGAACTATAAAGGCCTAATGACACATATTAATGACAGCCACAAAGAATAAATGTCCCTTTAGATTAGACATCATTTATTCTTCAGATTTTTCCCCATGTCTGAACAAAAATCTTGTCTAAAATAACCCCGTGGTCTGGGAAGAATTAAAAATAACTCTAATATGTCGTGATGGGCTCGAGCATCTGCTGCTGTAATCTACTTTGTATCTGTGAGGAGCATGTGGATTCTGGGCTATTGTTGGGTGCCTCTTGTCATTCTCTGTCACATTCTCTGATGCTTGACATAATGAGCAAATCTCCCAAGTTTCAAACATGGCATCAATAGGACATCCTTGGAAAACTGGAGTACTTAGCTACAGAGAAATATGATACAAAACAGGATAATCCCAGTAAACACAGTATCATTAAAAAATAAACTCTTTACAGCTCAAATCATACATAACTACATAAAAAAATGTCCACACTATCGCAAAGAAAATGTACACACGATAAATATGGACCCCCAAAATATATTATTCCAGCTTTCCTATATTGAACAGTAAGTCGATATAGTTTTACTCAATATTTTACAGCACATTTTATTCAGTATGTCTGTGTTAATGTCCCCAATCTTCCAAGTAGTATCAATAGCAAAAGAAAATGTAATTCTTTCAACTGGACAAATGTTTTTAGAGTGAACACTGAAACTAGCACACATTTGTTTACACTTTCTGTTTGTAACCGCAACTATAAAACAAATGTGTGTTTTAGTGTAGTCAGACAAATAAAAGGCAGTGTCCCAGAAGCTTTTTTCCAGTTGACAGAATTGAAATTTCTTTTGCTATTTTGCTGTTTACTCACTATATTTACATTTAAGTGACTGGACTTTTTTGAAATGTTTTTGTTTCAGGATGATAACTGGGGAGAGACCACGACCGCTGTGACTGGGACTTCAGAGCTGAGTGTGTCCCAGGAGGAGGTGGTGGGTTTGGGGAAGGAGATCCAGGACCGCACCCAGAACGTGCGGAGGTACCTGCCCGTGGCTCTGGGCGTGTTTGTGGGCTTGGTGGTGGCTGCTACACCGTTAGTGTTTCTGCTGCTGCCCGCTCTGTTATGGGCAGACCGACTGCAGGCGTGCGGGTCAGCCTGTGAGGGCCTGTTCCTCTCCATCTCATTCAAGCTCCTGATTCTTCTGTTGGCCATCTGGGCTCTGTTCCTACGACCGGGCAGGGCCAGCCTCCCGCGAGTGGATGTGTACCGTGCCTTTCTCACCACACTCACTCTCCTACTCACGATGTCCTACTGGCTTTTCTATGGGGTCCGGATTCTCGATGCTCAGGTGAGATGAAGCAAGCCATTTTTCTGCTTTAGAGCATTTTTGTGCAAAGTAATATGAACTAAGTGAACATGCAATAGCTGTTAAGTATCACAACGCCCCTCATGATACGTAACAGCTATTGCATAAGCACAGTAGGTCAGTTGGGAGAGCGTTTGTCCACTGATCCGAAAGTTCGAATCCCATCCTTGATATAAAAACCTCATTCGCTGATCCAGCTCCCAAAGATGCATGCTATAATTCAGTCCAATCCACTTTATTTTTATACCACATTTCACAAACAAACAGTTTACAAAGTGCTGCACAAACACATAATAATAATAACAACAATCATAATATAATGATAAAATAAGTGCTCAGATTTAATCATACTAGTCTTAAATTAATAAAACCAGTAAAATAAAAGGAGCAACATTATAGAATATGATGAATATGAATAATATTAAATAAAATAAATAAAATAAATAAAAGACACAGAGGACCACACAACTCACGTGGTGTTAAAAGTCAGAGAATAAAAGTGGGTTTTAAGAGGAGACTTAAAACACTCCACTCTGGGGGCTGTTCAGACGTGAGGGGGCAGAGCGTTCCAGAGTTTGCTATAATTGTGTCCTTGAGCGAGACACTTAACCCACGTCGCCCCCAGTGTCTGTGTACACTGATGTATGGATGTGTGTGAATGGATGAGTGGTTTCTTGATGTAAAGTGTTTTGAGTGCTATGTACAAATGTGACTGAGCATTTATTCCACACAGGACGAGGACTATCATGGCATTGTCCAGTTTGCGGTGTCTCTTGTGGACTCCCAGCTGTTTGTCCATTATTTGGCTGTGGTTTTACTGGAGCTGCGTCACCTTCAGCCCTGCTACAGTGTGTGTGTGATCCGCTCAACTGACGGAGAAACCCGCTATTACAACATCGGCCAACTCAGGTACCACTGCACACCGTAAATATGTGAAATAATAATTTGTATTGGCACAAACCAGAGTATATGCTTCTCACTTGAGTATTGGCTGTTCCATGCTGAAGTAAAAGTGATTGCAGGCTCATGTCCTCAGAGGAGAAAGGCTGGGGCAATAATTCAATTACTCATCAGTCTTCCTGTCTAGCTCTTTGCTGCCATTGTTTATAGACACCATAGGGACTGTACAGAGGTGGGCACAGACCCAGTTTCCTCATTTTGTTTTGTTTAAACTGTGATCGTGACATAACTATAAAGCAAATCTTAAGTATGCAGTAAGAACCTATGTTACACTATTTCCTCAAGTGTTGTGTTTTGTTTCATTCACAAATGGTTAACACACAAGCCCTGTGTTAATACAGGAAGTGCTCCATTCCAAGCTAAAAATGAAAATTACCACTACCTGACATCACAAAGTGGGACATAGCATTTTGAGCTTTGGAGATGTAAATAGGATAATAAAGCAGGGTTACTCAAACATGTATGAATGAAACAAAACACAACTGCATGCATATTCTTCATGAGGAAACAGCATTATCCCATGGCTAAAAGCTCACAAGAGTCAATTTTGTGTAATGTTAGGACCTTTAATTTATTCTCATTTTGGTTCAGTTGAAACCAGTTTGACCTAATATGTTGAAATGCTTTTCTCTCACAGCATTCAAAGAGCAGCCCTCTCCATTTTGGAGTATTACTACAGAGACTTCCCTGTGCATAACCCTGCCCTCCTCACTGCCTCCAAGCAGCGCTCAGCCAAGCACTTAGCCGGGCTAAAGGTCTACAATGTGGATGGTAAGTCCCCTTTGTAATGAAACCACTCCATCCTGTTAAGGTTTGTTCTAGCATGACTTAGAAGTACTTTGTATTTATATTTTAACATTAAGGATATTTTTCCTATACAGTTTGAAATGCATTTTGTTTTTATTCATAAACAGCTTTCACAAATGTCATAAGCACATAGCTTTTTAAGAGTAACACAGGTCTTTGCAAATTGCATGGTTGAAGTAGGCACCACCCATCATAATGAGTAGTATCCATAAAGCTCTGATACACAGTAATCTCAGCTGGGCCTGCGGGGCTTTGCCTGTTAGACATGGTGCACACCACAGTGGCCTGGCCACTGCACAGAGCCACAAACATATGTGCTGTTAACAGGGATCCAGTACATGATATCATGTCCTGTAGCATTAGCACCTCCCTCCCCCAGCCCCCCTCACCATCAGAGTGAGGGAAAGGCCTCAGAGGGCTGTGGAATTTCAATCCTTAAATAATTCATCAGAGCAGCACTCGTTTCTCACATTCGCCACATCTCTCCTTCCTCCTGCACCGCCGTCTGCAACGTTGCCTTTTCATCTTAACCCCCACCCCTTTTCTTTCTGTGTATTTATAACCATTCAGAACTGATGGTTTGTACCATATAAATATGATCTTCAGATTTTAAAAGCATATAATTAAATAAGATGTGTTTAATTATGTATTTTTTTATCTGTACAAAATGCTTGAATCTGATGCATACCAAGTGATGAATACACAAAAATGCAGATAATGTCCATAGATCTTTGCAGGAATCCATACTCACTGCACTAAAATCGATGAATAAAGCATTCACAAACAATCACGTCTCATTAACATTTTATACACAAACAGTTTTATATATTCACAGCGGCCTGGATGTAATAATAGCAGAGTACATTGAAGGTGTAAAGCAGAGGCATCTCTCCAAATAGCTTCTATAATCAATAATAGTAGTGAGAATACAGATATTGACACACATTGTTAGAAAGTGCTTGTGGTCCCTTCTCCAAAGTCATAAGTCACTCTTCTTATTTACCCCTGTACAAATTGAGACATAGGTCATTAATCATGGTGTGGAGGGGTCAGGAGACCCCTCTCTCCACATTGAGCCAATATGACCAATTTGCCTTTGTCCTGTCCTTCTGGCACAGCTCCGGCGAACGCAGCGGGGGCGCAGCCTGGTAATGGCAATCAGTCACGGCCATTGGGCACAGCTGCCTCCAAACGCAAAGACAGCGCTCATAATGAGCTATACTATGAAGAGGCGGACTACGAGAGGAGAGTACGCAAGCGCAGAGCCAGGTGAGGCCAAATAAGAGACATGTCTCCTGTTAGGTAATTTAATCCAATAACAAGTCAATTGTATAATATCCATCTAATAGGTCAGGCGGCCCATCGGAGATGAAGTGCTAATGACCCTCTCATGCTCAGAGGCTGAAGTGCTAATGACTCTCTCATGTTCACAGGCTGGTCGTGGCGGTGGAGGAGGCCTTTACACATGTGCGGCGGATGAAGAAAGAGGACGAACAGGCAACTCCATCTGATATCATGGACGTCCGCGAAGCTGCTCTAGCCGTGTTCCCGTCTCTGGCCCGGGCCCTGCAGAAGTACCTCCGTACCACCAGGAGGCAGCACTGCCACAGCATGGAGAGCATTCAGAAGCACCTTTCCTTCTGCTTGGTTAACAACATGAGTCCTAAGGTCAGGAGGGAATTATTTAGTTGAATATTAAAGCTTTAGTTTGTATCATGTCTGTTTACCTGTTAAATGCCGTCTGCCTGCAGGCGTTCCTGGAGGCGTACCTGTCCCCGGGGCCCACTCTGCAGTATGGCCCTGAGCGCTGGATGTCTGACCAGTGGACACTAGTGAGTGAAGCCTCTGTCACCACAGGTCTGAAGCAGGGCACAGACTTCCTGCTCAAGTGTCTGGACTTTAGTTTAGCCGTCACTGTCAAAGCCATCCCTTACCTCCGCCTCAGGGAGGAATACGTTGATCCCAAGTCCCACAAGTTTCTGCTGCTGCTCCAGTCGGAAACCTCAGTTTAACAGAAAAACACACTCAGACCTTTTTCTCACTGTTGAACTACTCAAAGGAATTTTCACCATGAAAGAAAAGTTTTTGTACTGTTTTTTGTACTTTTTCACATACGTGTTTATGTGTTTGTATCGTCCCTGGAGACACAAAACAAATGGGCCCACACTGGAGGCACATTGCTTGAGTTCCTCCGTCCTGCACCAGAGATCAGGTATTCTATGCACTACAGATCCTGTCATTTGCATGTGCCAGTGAGTGCCTGCTGGGCTGTTCCCGCACAGACCGGATGAGCCAATCAGGATGCAGGCAGCGTTAGTTCTACTTTGTCTGGGAGACAGTATAGGTACGGTGAACACAGGGATCTGTCTCGGCCTGTCTTCTCTTTTTAAGTGTTACCATGGAGACCAGGGCATTTTACAAAAGCCTTGTTGCAAACTGAAACCATTGCTGCAAAAAGGTCCTTTATGCCTCTATTTAACTCTTTTTTTGCAAATACTTGTACAGTATTTATACTTGAGTACCTTAATATAGTGTATCCATGTTTTTTTCTGAAAATGGCTTGAATCATTTCTGTTGTGTATGTCTGAAATGTATTGGTGATTATATCTGGTAGCCAATGTAAATATCTGAATGTTTTGTAAATGTCAGATAAAGGCTAAAGTCCATTACACTGAATGCCATGCACAAAACCAGCCAATAGGGACAGCGTGTTAAATACAAGAGGGTGTGTATGCCAAACTGAGAATGACCATGAGAGTAGCTAATGTGTAGCACTTTTAATTGATCTGGATTTGGTTTCAAAGTTTAGCTTTAGCTTTTTATTTAGTAAACATGCAAAATATGAGGTACATTTTCAAGCACATCTTAATCTACCCAACAAAAGGATTAATCATTCTGTACAATTCTGTCTGGTTTACTGACAGAACAGCTGAGTCCGAGGTGCTATTTTACAAATGAAATGCAGAGACAGAAGGCTTTGTGCCAAAAATGGGCTGTCATGTTCTCTCTACAATGCTGCATCTCATTGTCACTCTGCTGCCACCTACTGTCTGTGACTTTGAACATCTGGCACAGCTCAGTCCAGTTATTTCCATAGGTGAGTTTATGAGGACTGGTTTGTTTTCTATAGTCTCTGAGTGGATTTTGTTGATGCAGCCTGTGCTGATGGATTTTTTAACTACACCTGTGCCTCAGCTGTCTGTATGCAAATAACCCACGGCTGAGTGTGGGAGTAACACGAAACTGACCTGAGCATGATGATGAAAAGGGAAACCATTAATAAGTATATTCAACTGTCTCTGTGTTATTTTATACAGCATATTGTTAATGTCACCTTTGTAAAAATAAATATTTGTACTGAGCTGCTGCCCTGTGTATTCCATTTTGGTGCTATGTCCTATTTTTAATGAATATAGTTTAGTTAGCCAGAGTGCTGTATTGGTATTGGTATTATTGCTACTCCATTGAGTGAATTACACATCATATACAGCACCATATTGAATCTGCTAAATCGGCAAAATAAAAAAATTCAAATGTATTAACCTAGAGCTGGGCAATATGGCAATATAAAGAATTAATCATATTGATCAATCACATTTTTTATTTGTTTTGCAAAAAAAATTATTCTGCCAGCTGGACGAAGTGAAAACATTTCACCACTCATCCAAGTAGCTTCTTCAGTTCTGACTAAAAACTGGTGGGGTGAGTGAATGCCTTGTGTTTCTTTTTAAAACAACTAAAATTTGTAAACACATAAACACATTTCTTCCTTCAAAGTTTGAAGTACTGGCTGGGGGCATTTCCTTTTAAAAGATTGACTCATAATACTGACATTTAGAAATGACTGAATCTCTGTCTCAAATAAATTAAATGAATTTCACAACCATAGAAAAATCACACTAAAATAAAATTTTTCTGAACATTACGTGCCACTGCCGTGCACGTAAATGGCAAAAGGAAAGACGGAGGGATCTTAGGTTCTCTTTATTCTTAACAATGTTATCAAACTTAAAGGTTTAAATATTTGTAAAGGTCTCATTTTGCAGCTTCAGTTCATGTTTAGCCCAGTCTGTTGAGTAAACAGGTTTAAGCTTAATCATCATCTTCGTCATCATCTTCATCGTCATCGTCGTCATCATCATCGTCATCATCATCATCTTCGTCGTCATCATCGTCGTCATCATCATCATCGTCATCATCATCATCGTCGTCGTCATCATCGTCCTCTGTGTTCACTTTTCCAGAGAGGACGTCCTCGATCCAGTCCTCCAGCTCCTGAGCCGAGGGCAGGTCCTCGTCACTGTCAATGCTCATCCACACACTGTCAGCCTGAACACAGAGGACACACACAGAACCTCGTTTAGACTGTATATTTACCGTGTTTATGTTTGTAAATACTCAGTACTTACATCTGTGACGTTGACAACTCCAATCTGTGGTCTGAACAGGTCCACTTTGAAGGTTTTCTCCCAGTAGGGAATCAGCTGCAATTGACAAAGATGAATCAAGCAATCAGCGGTGTGCTCCTTGCCGAAAATCAGGCTTGAATTTATTATTTTTTTTGTCTTTCACATTAAAAACAGAAGAGGAGAATACAAAAGAAATGAACAAACTAATATTGTTGATTTAATGCTAATAATTTAAGGCATTTCTTAATAAAATGAGACAAAAAGATAATAACCAAGACAAAAATTGTACTATTGTGATTGTTTCGAAAAGGAAAGATGTACAAAATATCAGTACCTACAACAATCACCTCGCCTTATAATGTAGTCTAGAGAGTCTGTAACCTACCAGAGGGAAGTCATCCGGATCGATCCACACAATACTGAGGTCAGGAAGGTGAGTGTTGTCTCTGGCCACTTCCTTTAGGATCTCCAGGAACTCAAAACCATCTAAAAAACACAGGGGTGAGCACGTTTTTCCCACTTTAAAATAAATGTCATGTCTTCACCTGGATCTTCCTCCTCTGCAAAGGCAACAATGTGGATGCCATCGATGTCATCTTCCTACAAATATTAGAGAAAAAAAATAAATAAATCAAGCTTTTATATTGGCTAGGATGACCAGTAACCCAATAATGCATATTTATTTTTTAAGATCAATCTAAGTAATTGGTGTATTTGTTATGTTTTACATACAAAAATATAGTAATTCTCCAGTAGTAGTATAGCAGTAGTTCGTTTGTTTGACCACCAGATGGGGCTAGAGGCAAAAAGAGCCCATGTGCATATGAGACAAAAAAATCTGAGAATTACATACAATTTTTTTTTACAACGCAAGCTTAGAGTTAAAGTTATTGTACGGCCGTGATCATCAGGTAAGCATCATTACAATCAGTAAACTAAAAAAAAATATTACACTTACCCACGTTTCAAACATGTCTTCTGCGCGTAACTTCCTCAGAGTGGGCCTGTTTGCACACAACAACACTCACATTATGTATTTACCTACTTTTCTACGTGATATTATTTTCATTTTAATGTATTTTTAGTTTACCGCCTGTGCTCTGTGATGAACTCCACCAGCTCCTCCTCGGTGTGCGGTTTTCCCGGGATGGTGACGGGCTCCTCCATGAACGGCTCATAAAAGTCCACCTCGTTCAGCCTCAAGGTCAGCTCTTTGGCCACCTGCAGAAAAAGTCACACAGTCATCTAATTATGTGGGTAATGTGTAGAAGAGAAACCGAATACAAACTTTTTATTAATGTCAGTTTGGTGGGACTGCATATTATTATTATTTTAGGAGTCGATTGTTATTTTTTTCGATTAGTCGACTAGTCATACAATTAGTGCTAATCAGAGGTGGACTTGATAAAATGGACTAAGACTTGGGGACTCGACTTGGACTTGAAGGTCTGTGACTTGGGACTTGACTTGGACTTGAAGGTCAGGGACTTGGGACTTGACTCGGACTTGAGGCCTGTGACTTGAGAAGCACTATTAAATCTGATTTCTTTCTATTCTGACCGTAATGATTCACTCTAAGATCTTGTCAAGGTATTTAAAAAGGCAAAATTAACTAAATAAATTTCTTATATACTCTAAAAATACTCATATATAAGTATACTATGATTTTTTTTAAGTACAATTTATCTTAGAAGTAATACAAATTCCAAAAATCCAAGTTATATTTGGTACTTTTGTTTAAAGACTTGAAATGACTAGAAGCTCAACGCAGATGACTTGGACTTGACTTGGACTTATGGGCCAGTGACTCAAGATTCAAGTTGGACTTGGCTGTATTTGACTTGGGACTTGACTCGGACTTGAGGTCAAAGACTTATGACTTACTTGAGACATGCCAAACAAATACATTTTAACCAGATGAAGTTTAAAATATAGAGACTTATATTATATTTTGTCACAGTCCAAAGGTGGACTGTGTAACTTTTTTGGTACGTGATCCGCCACAAGCTTGTTTCCATGGTGATATTTTTGCTTTGCCTGAAAGTTTTCACAGTTAGACTGACCAGATATTCAAAATCAAAATCTGGAACAACTCTGGTTTGTGGTGGTTGGTAATAATAAATTTGTGAAACGAGTGTGTAATTAAGGAAAATTGTTCTGCACTTGGCCCATTTATGACTAACATGTGAGACAGTCAAATCTTCTGTGATTTTTCATCATGCTTTTTTGTGTTTTACCTAAACAAATGACAATGTATGCCTCTCTTTATTGTTGGCAGGTATCAAACTGGTCAAAAATAGGGACATCTGGGACATTTCTTGTATAAAACTGGGACAAATTAATGCTTTTGGATAAATCTGCTGGGACAGGGGACACAGGGCTCAAAACTGGGACTGTCTGGTCACCCTATTCACAGTATGTAATTTAACACACCTATGACGCTTTTATTCAATTACTGTTGTTTTACTGATCAAAAATACTAAGAAAACATGCATTCGTACAGTGAGTGAGCTTGCCTCTCCACAGATCTGACCTGTAACAATGTGAGCCATGGAAATAGATAAGTTTAGTGCCATACTGTGGGACATTCTAGACAAGGCAATAACATCTACATGAAGACAAGCAGGTGGCGAACCCTCTGTTTAATAATACCATGGTCTTGTTATGAAACATATTTTTTGCACTTGTATTATTCTATATCATGCAGAAAAATAAGAAAATTTGTTATTTTAATAGCCGCCTGCTAATTTCAGTATTAACTTACAGATTTCTCAAACGTGGCAAAGAACTTGATGTATGGCTGGAACTCCTCGGCTGCCTCTTTAAATGCTTCGTAGTCTAAAATGCAAAGAAAAAGTTATAATTTTCCTCTTTTAAATAAACAAATACACTGTGTGCTCTTAAAATAGTCAATGTTGGTGCTTTGCTTGGAAATAGCTGATGTTATATTTGCCCAATGGGGATAGATTCTTGATTACAAATAGCTGAACTTTGACCTCTGTTTCTCCCAAGTTGGGTTCATCGGATGTAGCTCAACACAACTCCACAAATCAGAAAGTGGCAGCTGCGTCAGTGGTAAAAATGGATTTGTAAAGCCATGGGGAGAATGGAGCATTTGTGTTGTAATGTAAGGCAGGAAACAATCACACACAAATCCAGTGGAACATGATGAAGTAAAAGTAGGAAAGTACTGTACTTGAAACTTGGTGAAAAGGCTGAGGACTTAGGGTTAGGGATAGGGCACAAATCTGTATTAAAATCACTACACAGCTTAATTTTTAAACAGGTGCTTTATTTATTTCATGTGATACTTTTACTTTTAATATTTTTGCTCAGGTATCTGTACTTCTAATTACTTAATAAAACTGGGTGCTTCTTCCACCACTGCACATATCTATCAAACACTGTTGCCGATAGTATTGCCAGACTTACGTTCTGATTCCTCATTCTTGAAGTATCCGATGAGACGGATGTCCTCCTCCATCCGGTCAAAGGCGCGGAGTTCCAGGGCATTATCTATGACTTCAACTGGATCCTCCATCAGCTGTACAGATGCACGCACAGCACAGTTAAAGTGCCAATGACAGATTAGGCTCATTTTACTTAAACACATTTACGATCACTATATTTAATGGGCCTACTTTATAATAGGCACATAATTACTCCTGTGAGCTTTAAGTCATGTTGTAATGTTGTTACCTCATCAAAAACATGCCTACAGTTTTGAGTTCATTCATACAAGTTGGAGTAATCCTTATTATTAGTCTGTCTACATCTCCAAAGCTCAAATGCTCTGTTCCACCTTGTGATGTCATGAACCGACAGTTTTTAAGTTAGCTATTTTTAGCTCCTTTTACCTTTTGTTCAGTAGAGATTGGAAATTCCAGGGCAGAAATCATCCAGATCATTCTACTGAAGGTATGTGGAGTTGACAAACACAGTGGAGCACTCCTGAAGAGCTCAGACTAAATATGCAGGGTTTTTGTCTTAAATGTGTTTGATCAGGGAACAACATTATAACATAAATCTGAAAATAGCATAAAAGATTAGAAATAGAAAAAAAAAATGTTACACTTGTTTTTCCCAGTTTGACGATTTCTTTAGGAATAAAATGTTACTTCCTGGAAATCATCACATCACACTGGGGAATTACATAACTGTTACCTAGCAACGAAATTGTACACTGGGCCAAAACAGACTATTATTTGACAAACAAAAATATAAGAAACACCTTAAATTTCTTGAAATAATGTTTAAAGTATCAGAAAAATGTGTTTCTTTTGGATAGAATTTTCCTCAGCATGATGTCTGTGGTTAGAACTCTCTACTTCCTGTAATTTTACAACATATTTTTCAACATTTCTTCACAAATTGTTTCTAGATTTGTGTGAAATTCTAAGTTATATTTAAAACAGGTGTTATCCCACCAAATTACGTCAAAAACAGAAAATCATAAAAATATATAATACGTGCTTGAAGATATGAGAGATCTTATTTTAACAGTTAACTCACATCCAATAAAAACTCTGCCAGAGTATTTGCAGATAGTAAGCCGTCAAACTCAATCACGTGGTCCTCTTTAAAGACATAGACACTGCCCTCTTCCTCCAGACCTGAGGGTGAGTGAGGAAAACAATTATTTACATCTTTTTATTATGTAATTATTATTATATATTTATAAGAAACACAAAGAGAGTTTACCCAGTCTTTTAGCCACTTTTGCGTCTTTTTGAGAGTCCACCATCCCAAATCCAATGCCTTTCTCCTCCATCACTTGTGCTAGAAGCTACACACAAATCAAACATGAATAAATTATAATACATTACTTATCTGTTACTACTTTAAGGTGCACTGCGTAAAATTTCTAGTGTAGAGCCTGTCACCCGAGGCCTAGCAATGTTACTGCTTTGTCTAGAATGTTCCACAGTTTAAACCTATCTATAACTATCTACATTACAACTCAGATCTGTGGAGAGTCGCCCCTATTTTTGAGCAATTGAAGCACCCGTAATGAATAAATGCTCGATGGAAATGTTTAGTGACACCATGGAACATTCCAGGCAACGCAATAACATCTTCATGGAGACGAGTAGGTAGCGGACCCTTCACCAGAAAAGTTCCACAGTGCAACTTTAAGTAACTAAGTTAGTCAGGGTTCATATTGACTAAGTAGACAAAGTGTCAGTGAGGAGGATTAGGGCCTGTTGGCGACCCTGACAGCTAAGTGAGGTGTTAATTCAAAATTTCCCATAGTTAATGAATGAGTGTGACTGAGTGGCTGTCAGTGTGTTTATGTGTAATCCCACCTGTGGTTCCCAGTCCCATAGACTGGATAAAGAAGTGGAAGTGAGTGTGATGTGTCCCGTAGCATTCAAATGAAGATGTTATCAGTTATAGGAGAGAATTTGGAGCCAGGTCCATACAAGGAATAGGAATTTATTTACAGACAAAACAGACTAGAGTGTGTTAAAGGGACTGTCTGGAATTTTGGACATAGGACCTCATTTCCTAGTTAGCCAGAGTGTTGGAGACATGTGGAGACACTTTTTAAAAACTATTTCATCCAGTCCTTGTATTTGCAGAGGTCGCTGGTGCTAGGCTAGCGCATGTCAATGGCCATAGTTATCCTGCCACTAAAAACAGTCTTACCAACTCCACAAAGCACCCGAAGCAAATTTATTATTATGCCAGTCTTTCGATCTGAATGTCTGTGTTGATAGACTAGTGTTTGAAATAAAACTAACCTTGCATCACATGAATGGTCGCATGTTGAGGGACTATTTTCTCAGCAGCAGCGGAATTTTACTTTGCTGGTAATATAGGTGCTAGGTGATATCAGTTCTCCGCTGCCAAGCTTTCTATCAAGAAATACAACTTGCTGCTGCTGCTCAGACATAAATCCTTCAAATTCAAGTTTGTTTTTACTTCTAAAATGATTCTATCGAGACAAGCATTCACATCGACAGTGTGGGGGTATAATTGTTTTGCTTCGGCTGCTTTGTGGAGTGGGTAAGACTGTTTTTAGTGACAGACAAACTATGGCCATTGACATGAACTAGCCTAGCACCATCGACCTCTGCAAATACAAGGACTGGATGGAATATTTTAAAAAGTGTCTCCACACGTCCCCGACACTCCACAGTGAGGTCCTATGTCCAAAATTCCGGACTGTCTCTTTAATACAAACATTTTAAGATCAAAATGATGAGGCTCACTGCAGCAGTTACAGAGAGAGGTGACAATTTTCCAACACAAAGTCAATTGGAAACAGAGTCGAAGGAGCCAGACGCGGCCCCATGCTTTCTTCCAATTTAGAACACAGCAGTTTGCAGGTCCATTTCTATTACAGTCTATGCTGCAAACTAATTCCACTTGTCTCATATCCTGGGATAGACCAAGGACTGGCAAAGTTAATACACAGCCAGAGTTTGGGTTAATATAATGTGTGTATCAGGTTTAAGCACAATATTTAGGGTATTCTTGCACATTTTCCTGTACTAGCATTTTGACGTCATGGTCAAAAGTAGCCAGTAGCTGCTCACAGTCCATTATATAATCTTAGACACAGCACAGGGTTGTTTGAAATAAAGGGAAAATGCATTGTATTTGCAATAAAAATGCAATGCAATAAAAATCTACTCAAGTAAAAGTTTAAAGGTAGCCGTTTAAAATGCACAGATTATGAGATCTAATAAAGCTTCAAATGTAGTGCTTTCAGTAAAGATTTGTGGTGAATTTTGGTCAACAGAAACAACTCAATAATTTTTTTGTTTGTTTTTTGAGCTGCTTTTCTTTGTATATTTAGTTTGCTGAAATTATGATTAAAATAACCCCTCATCCTTTTCTGCAAGTCTCAAACAATAGAAAATACTTTTACTTTTCAGTCCTGTTCAAAAGTGTTGTGGAATAAAAAGTACAGATATCTACATTTTTTACTTAAGTACAGTACAATTTTTACTTTGTTACCTTCCACCACTGCACACAGCACAGGATTGTTCTAAATATAACTAAAGGGACACTGCACTGTGTTATATGTCTTGTATATTCTGATCTGAGGGACATGAGTGCTCAATATTTTTCTTCAGTTTGAACGCCTTATTTCGCACTGAAGTTGTAGCCACAGCTCTTATATCTGTCTTCACACATTGGGCTACTACCTGATCAGAAGTCACACCTGTGCTGTGTCAAATATGTAACAGTGCATGTCATGGTCCCGTGGGCTGGGCTCGTGTTACACAGTGGAGAAGTGAAGATCAGGGGGTAAGCCTCTGTGCCTTGTTGTAACTCGAGACCAGCTCAGCGCATTTCTACAATGCTTTTGACTATGAGATGAAAAGTATGATTTAAGAGGTCTGCAGCAGGTCACCTTGAATGCATGTAAGCTTTAGTACTTGTTTGATCTATTAAAACGAACTAATTGCTGAATATTCCATTGTTATGTTTGCGTTTTATGACAGTTGCATATCTGGAAATAAGCATGCATTAAATTTACATTGCACATTGCAAAACAAAAGCAACATTTTGGAGAGCATCATCTTTTATTTTTGATATCAATAGGAGTTCAGTGAATATTAAAGGTGCATTGCATAATTTTTTTTTGTGGTGGACGGTCCGTCAAATGCTTTTTTTTTCTTTGAGATGTTATTGTTTTGTCTGGAATAGTATTGAACCTTTCTATCTTCACGGAGATCAAATCATACCTGCTTTTTTAGGTATTTTTGAGCTATAAAACCACCTGTAATAGAATAAATATATAAAGTGCCCAGGCAGAGCAGTGACATATCCATAGAAACAAGCAGGTGACGGACCTCCAACCAAAAATTGACATAGTGCATCTCAAAATATATATTAAAATATAGTATATTTGATCATCTTTCCGTACCTCTAGCACCAGCTCTGTCATCTGGTGTTGCCTCTGCTGCTCCTTGTTGTCTGGGATTGGCTTATGGTAAAACAAACAAAGCATGCTGTACTTCTTCATGGCTTTCTTGTAGTTTTTGTCATTGATATCAATAACGCGATCTTCCCCATCGTAATGTGGCAGCTCCAAGCCCTTCTCAGAGGTAGCTAAAGGCGCAAGACTGAAGCACGGAAGCAGGAACAACCAGAGGGCTAACAGCTCCATGGTCCAAATATATATATTATTATTCTCAATCTTATCTTATAAAAAAAATATATGTACTTTTAAGTTATTCAAGCAAGTTATTCCTAGCTGAAACCATCCTCAAGTCTTGGCCCCAGACACAATGAAGACAGCAGCGACTGAGGCCTTGTGCAGCACTGTGGGACAGATACCATACATAGCAGCCCGCTCTATCCTCTTGTAGGACAGGCCCATTTTTAGGAGACCAGTTGTTTGAATGCTAAAAATAAATATCCAACTGAGAAAGACTCAGGGAGAGAGACACTGGGCAGGACAACAGTGGAAGTGGGTTCAATAAAAGGGTAAAGTTGCATCTCTAGAGGATAGAGGATATGAATGGAAATTGAGAGGGTAGATGTGTTTAAGTGGTTTCATAATGGCAGTGTGAATGAGACTGAGGAAGTAGTTTTGTAGTTATGAATTGGATAGGGGTGTGTATTTTGGTAACTGTTGTGAGGCTATGCAACAACAGGTGTGCAGCAGAGACTTAAATAATGGGCCACTCCGCACAGTTTGTCTACACGAGAAATTTGTCAAGAAAATTAACATGATTCTGATTGCTTCGTATGTAATCACACACACTTGTTTGTTTGCTGATAAAATGGAACATCTGTCTTGTCAATTGCTATTTCCACTTCCTTTGTGCAATTCAAATGTCATTCAGTGGAAGTGCAGTCTGCTGCCATCTGCTGGTTATTATGTGAACAAATCTAGAATGCTAAACACCAGTTTTTTCATCACAAACTTACCCGGAGTTGTGTTTTGTTTCATTCACACATGTTTAACACACAAACCCTGCATATTTAGGCTATGTTCTTCTCTCTAACAGAACTTTCACTAGAATCATTTGAATAATTTCAGCTCCCAAATTGCCAATCTTTCCTGAACAAAAGGTAAAAGGTAGGCTGTTAACTTCATCACAAGGTGGAACTGAGCATTTTGAGCTTTAAAAATGTAGACAGACTAATAATAGGATTACTCAAACATGTGTGAATGAAACAAAACACAACTCCAGACATGTTTTTGATGTTTTTGACTAAAACATAATGTATGAATTTATTTTTTATGTATTTCATTGACCCTGTATGGAAATTTGTCTTTTGCACTGGCTAAAGCTTTCAGATTAACAGGATCATGCAAAAACTGCTATGGACACTTATAAGTACTAGTATTTGAATTTATTTGATTGGAGGATAAGCCCCTTGAGAACATCAAAACAACAAAATCAACACAACTATACACACTCACTCACTCACATGTGACTTTTAGACACATAATAAATCAAATCTGAACAAAAACTAAGACTGAGTTCAAATATATACCTCTGCCACTACTCCATAGTGTCAGTATTATTTAATTTAATTTAATTCACTTCACATTAAGTTAATAACATCACACATAATTTAATTCCTTTATTTAGACTTATATTCTAATTTGGGTGCACACATTTTCGTTAATATAAGTCTGAATTATTTACTTACACTTGTTCTATTGGATTTTTTGAGTGTCAGATGGGGGACCCTCAATCAACATCACATATTATTATCACTTATTATATTCTGTATTATACTTATTTTCCTTCTTGTTACTTTGATTAAGTTAGTAGTTTTAGTTAATTATTTAGTGTAATTCTCCCCTCTTGTGTTCATCTTTAGTTGGTCCTTAGGTATTTAAACGCCTCTGTTCCTTTGTCTGGTTGGGTTAGTTTTGTTCTGTTCAGTTTGATTTAAATTACTCCAGTTGGGCCCAGATTAATTTTTTTATTTTTTTTGTAATGATTTACCTAATTTGAGCCTTTGTTAAATTATCTCTTTTTTGACTTTATTACATTTTTACTTATTTTATACCTTGTCTTTGCCTTTCTGTTTGGTCCACTACAAAGATGAACAACAAAATGAAATGAAATAGTAACAGCCGTACTTTCTCCTCTGCTGTTGTCTGTGCATATAAATAATCTTTAGTTAGTTAGTTAGTTTATTTTCTTTGGTCAGTTGGCATAATCATTAATGCTGTTAAATCGATTAATGAATGGCACAGAAATAACACATAACGCTTCAGTTATTCTGCAGACTGAAGGTGTTTACGCTGAAGGTTAACACTTATTTTGATTAACCCTCTTATCATATCGAGTACAAGATGGCAGAAAATCTGTTTACAGAGAAAAACGAAGCTTGTCTTCAGTGTGGGGGAAAAATACCTATTTATAAGTATATTTGAGTATACACATATGCAGACACACTGATCCCTTGTTTGCAACTATGCCATTTTAATTACTTCCTCTTCCAGGTTCGCCCACAGCCCAGAGGTAGAATACAATACCTGTGTTTTTTAACGGTTATCAGCAGAACACGTTTGACTTGACCTTCCTCCTCTCAAGGTTAACGTCAACTTTGAACTTCTGCTGAATTTACCTGCCCAGTTCACTATTCACTGAAAGTCTCATTTTAGACCATAGGACCATGTAGACCATAGGGATGTAAAAATAACTGAAATATTGTGATATCGTGTCATCAGAAGTCTCTCAATAATACCGTGGGCCATCACAATATATCGAATTATAAGTCTCTTTGCTTAAATGAAAAATGATGGTGTAGCAATAGCTAAAAAATAGAGAGAACTACACAGACCATGATCCTTTGCTCCATTTGAGTCCAGACTAAATTAAGAAATAACAGTTATAAGCACTTTTAAATGTTAGTTATTTGGATTATGACAGAACCAAGAGCTTGTGAGGGCATTTTAAAAGGAGAAAGTATTATTCACAGTCTTATTCTCCACAAAATATCGCAATAAATATCATACCGTGAGATGCAATATCGTGAAAATACCGTACCGAGAGATTTGGATATCGTTAAATCCCTAATAATACTAATAAAGATCTGATGAATTATCCAGCATCCTTGAGACTGAGAAAAGCGTTCACAAGTACTTCTTATGTTTGTATTTGCAGCTATTGTGTTTGTATTCACTCTCTGCAGTGTAAATAAAACACTGTTTATAATTAAAAAGTTAGTCTAATTCTAAAATATAAATTATTCAGTGTGTGGGAGTGTTCGTATGGCATTAAGCTTATCTCATGTTACAGTGTGGATTTCCTGAGAAAGTTCTTGAAGCTCCATTGTGTCACAGTGAACCATGGACGTATGAGTCAGAATCACATTTCACAACGTAATGTTTATTTAGGATTTAAGTCGACTCCATGACAAATCCGGTCCCTTTCACAACATAGATGTCAGTTTATGATTTAAAACTAGACTGTAAAATAAATGGACATAGCTATAACTCTAGCCACCGCGTTCCAAATCTAATAGGAAGTGTTCATGGGCGCGCTTCCGGCTCCATCGACTCCGGCTCCAACTGACTTGACATTGAATTGTCGCGCCGCTCTCTGTAACCGCTGCTGTGAGTCTCGTCATTTTGGTCTTGAAATGTTCCTCTTAACCCACTCCACATGATCCTGGTGTTTCTATTTCACAATTTTGTCCTTTTCCTGTTCCGAATAAGGAACCGGGCTCCAAAATTGCTCCTATAACGGCAAGCCTCATGAGCTTCATTTGACTGGATGACATGACACTCCCTTAGTCCACTTCTTTATACAGTCTATGGTTTAAATCACAAAATATTTCTATTGGATGTTATGGCTTTACTTGTGCTGCAAAGTTGGCGATGACTTGACTTTGCTGGATCTCTGCGGTCCAGCCCTCCTTGATGTACTGGTGGTAGGGGTCATTGGAGTGCTCCCGTCGCTTGGACTTGACGGTGCTCACCAACATGGCCACCATGATGAACGCAAACATACCAAGCATAACGACCAGGTAACATAGGATATCTCTGACGTTCTGTTCCTCTTCATTGGACGAAGCGGTTTGGTTATTTTCCCAGTTATTGAGGAAGTTCTCCAACGCACCAGTCAGGGAGTTCTCCAGGTATGACGTCAGGTTGTTGGACCATTCAGGCATCTTGGTAAAAGAAAAGAAAGATTTTATGATAGTTACATGTTTGTTTAAAGGTGCATTGCGTAACTTTTCTAGAGAAGGGTTCATCGGCTGCTTGTCTCTTATGTTATTGCGTTGTCTAGAATGTTCCAGGGTAGAGATTAATTCAGGGAAGTCAAGGGCTACATTACACTTCAGATCTATGGAGAGGCAACCCTATTCAGAGAGATAATTATTGTATTTTGAGCAAAAGAAACACCCCAAATGAATAAATGCTAGATATAAATGCTAGATAGATGTGTTTAAGGCAAGGAAGAACAATAACATCTCTATGGAGACGACCAGGTGACTGACCCTAAACCAGAAAAGCTGTGTAATGAAGCTTTAAGATATGCTTTCAGGTTCAGAGCATTAAATGAAAAACATCCATTCTTACTCTGACTGGGTTGGCCTGTCAAGATAAGACTTGTAACTTAATCTTGTTTCTGCACCTGTTTGTCTAGATAGAGAATAATGCCATATTGTTGAACATTCCAGTAAGGCTGTGCAGTTAATAAAATTTTGATCGCAATTTCAATTTTGTGTGTCTAAGATCTCCAAACTCTTATCAAGTTGAACCGATAAAGCTTAACAAGTTTATTTTGGGATATTGTAAATAAATAAGTATATTTATTAAATTTTTTAAGTATAGAGATTGTAGAACAGCTGGATATATTGTTTGTTTTGGATACATTTATGTTTTTCTATGCTTTATTTCATGTTCAAAGTATATTTTATTCTATTTTTGTTTTATGCATCGCAGAACTGCTCTAAGGAACATATTTGTAGCCTATATTTATTTTCAATTTGAAAATTTTGCATAAACTATCAATAACAAAGTGTTTTGTTTTTTTTTATTTAGAGAAATGCTGAATAAATGCATCGTGTTACTAAAAAAAATAATCGTTTGAATAATCGGGATTTCAATATTGACCAAAATAATCGTGATAATGATTTTTTCCACAATCAAGCAGCCCTACATTCCAAACTATGTTCATGAAGACAAGTTGGTGGCAGACCTTCCACCTGAAAACCATCCACTAGGGGGCAGTAATGACTCAGATTTGTGATATGCACTGACCTTTGTGGCATAGCGCATTTACCCACGAGCTTAACTTTAACTCACCGGACCTCAACTATTTTAAAAGAAAGCCACAAAACACTACACACACACAAATGGTACTACTGATCTTCTGAACGCAACTGTGTGAATGTTGAACTTTGTGTGGTTCCAGTTGTTGTTTTATAATGTACTAACAATTACAAAGATATTTCCCTTGAACAATGCCAAGACGTGCATAATGACATGCATGCATTTACATTATTTATGTATCTGCATCTTTTTTTTAGAAGGGTGCCCTCTTTGGATTGGTTTATTATAATGCTGGCCTCATCAATTAACAACTTTAAGGTAAATATTTTATCTTTCGAATAGGAAGAAGGTCAGAATCCTATGATAAAATTTGCGTTTGAACTGTCAGATTGCAGATTTGCTGTCTCGGTTTACGGTTAATATCTTGTCATTATTACGCTTATCCATGTCAAACAAAAACTGGCACGAAGTTCAAAGCTTTTGTGTGAGCACAAATAACCAAAAGAAATTCAAGGTCTTCAGAAAGTAGTGCCATTATTCAACCCCAAAGACTTGATTGTTGTCATTTGAAAGAACTTTAAAGCTGTAAGATTAATATCACAAGTTTGAAGGACTTTGATTTGAAGTTGTTTTTATTTGCCATGACAAATCCTTCAAATCAGGAGGAAACTCTGCCCAAAACCCATGTATATGAGTAATGATAAGAAATGAGTTCTGATTTAATATTATTACTTTACTTTACTTCCTCCACTGGTAATAACATCGTAGATTATTGCTCTGGTCCATTTGTGATTTAAATGCCACTGAACACAATTCAGACATTGAGAAAGCAGTTCAAAGAAGTTACTATACCAACCTTCTGTTGCAGTTGTGTGGGCCTCATTAGAAACTTCTTGGTGAGAGAACAGAAGAAAACACAACAATACCTGATTCAGCACTGCAGTCTACCTCAGATCATATTTTATTAACCTCTTTAATCTTGTTTGTCGAAAAGTGGAGGGAGGAAAAGGGCTGCACCGCATGACCTTGGCATTGCTTTCTTCTGACATATTTTCTTTAGCTGATAAAGGCCAAAAAGATTTGATATCACCCACTTCATTGGAGCAGTTCCCATATCACACTATTTTCTGATCTCAAACAGACCTGGAGTTGTGTTTTGGTTCCTTCACACATGTTTAACCCACAAACCCTGCATATTTAGCCTGAGTTCTTCTCTCAAACAGTGAACCACCTTGTGATGTCATGCGATAATACAGGAAGTGCTCCATTGTGTTTTTGTATTCTGTACACCTTCAGCAGAATTATTTGGATGATTTAAGCCCTGGAATTGCCTGTCTCTGCTGAACTAAAGGTAAAGGGAGCTGTCAACTTGAAAACTATCCCTAAATGACATAGAAGAGAGGATTTTGAGCTTTGGAGATGTAGACAGATTAATAATAAAGGGTTACTCAAACGTGCGGATGAAACAAAATATAATTTCAGGTATTTTATTGAGCTATCAACATTATACCTTGGCTTAAAGCTCACAATAGTCAGTTTTGTATATTAATTCATATAGGACCATTAAGACTGGTCATTGGGTGTATGTATGTATTTGTTTGAAGGATATCTAATTACAGTATATTCAGTCATTTGTTGCAAAGAAGATTTGTCATTTGTCCCAGAAATGTATATATCAAAGAGACTGATCATGTCAGGAGAAATTCCAGACTGAGGTGACATGGACAGGTAAAGAGACCAGTGGTGGAAGAAGTACCCAATTGTGTTACTTAAATAAAAGTACAGATACCAGAGCAAAAAGAAAAAATACTCAAGTAAAAGCAAAAATATCACTTGAAAAAGTCTACTCAAGTAAAAGTATTAAAAGGACCTTTTTTTAAAAAAAAGTGAAAATATTTCATTTGGATTTTTAAGTCTTATAAGGCTAAGGCTTCAAATGTAGTGATTTTGAGAAAGATTTGTGCAGATTTTTTTTCAATAGAAACAATTTTATATATAAATATATATACACACACATACACATACACAGTATATTTAGCTGTTTTTTATTTGTATATATTTGTTTGTCTGCAGGTCTCACACAATATTATTTTTCAGTCGAGTTAAAAAATGGAGTGGAGTAGAAAGTACAGAAACCTGCTCTGCTCTAGTGAAGTAAAAATAAAAAGTATCAACTTTAAAATGTACTTAAGTAAAGCACAGATAGCAACATTTATACTTAAGTGCAATCCTTTACTACTTTTACTTCATTACATGCCGTCACTGAAGGGTAAGACAGATAGTTTGATGTAATAAAGCAAAAGATTAAATTAGTGTGGAGAAAGAGGATAGGAAGTGTTATACGTGGATCAGATGCTGTACTCACTATGAGGCCTAGTATTAAACAGCGCATAGATTTTTCATGTCCCTAATATTCTATTGTGGTTATTTCCTTTACAAAAATGAATACATGTGTGTGGGTTTGGTATCTCTTTCAACCCCTGGAGTTATGAAGGCTCTTTTGTTCCAGTCAAGGACAAGTGCCCCTCTTTCTGACAAAATACAGAGTCTCTTTGGCTCCGTTTGATCTTCCTCTTGTTTCTTGATGTTGTGACCTTTTTATCAATCATATTTTTATGGTCATTTTCTTGTGCTGTACCCCTCGGGAGATGAAATGGGAAACAACATTTTTTTAAGAGCACGTATTATGCTATTTTCTGATCTATGTAATAATGTTGTTTCCTTATTGAAAAAATGCACACAGACTTGTGTTTTGTTACATTCACACATGTTTAACACACAAATCTTGCATTTTTAGACTGAGTTCTTCAAACAGAAAACTCCTTGTGATGTCATGTGGCAATACAGAAAGCACTCCATGGTGTTTTGTGTAGTTTACTGCTTCATGACATCATAAGGTGGAACTGAGCATTTTGAGCTATGGAGATGTAGACAGACTATTAGTGCACGATTAGTCAAGCATGTGTGAAGGAAACAAAGCTCAACTTCAGGTATGTTTTTGAACAGGTAATAACATTACAACATAGCTAAAAGCTCACATGAGTCAGTTTTATAGCCTTAATGCTTATGACTGAATTAAATGTGAGCATTAATCTGCCACTCATGTTTGGATTGATAAGAAGAATACAATTTCTACACAAGATCAAACTTGTAAAAAACAAGACCGCTCCTAATCCCATCTAAACTCATTTATCTCATATCTTGTACTTTGAATGGACCAACATGGCACAGACTTTCAACCTGCAAGTTCTTGCATGATTTGACTAACAGATGTTAAGCCTTAGTAATGTTTCCCAGTTCTGTAAAGTCATGTTGTCAGTGGCGGTGCCAGAAAGGGGCATGAGAGAGCACTAACCTCATTATAATGGCCAGTGCACCACCAGAGCTCCCCCAAACATTTTAGCCCAACTTTCATAGCACATTGAATCTCAAATAAAATTGTTCAAATGGCAACCACAAACTGTCGAAAATGAGACTAAAAAAAAAAAAAAAAGGCTTTATAAATCACCATAGGAGACAAAGTACCATTTAAACTGGTTCAAAACAACAAACCAAACATTGGGGGCAGGGTGCTCACATTCATAAAAGCTCTAAATTAAAATTTTAAAGGCCCTTCTGGGGAATGATTTTGCGAATTAGCCTAGGCTATAAACACTCTGATACCTGCTTCAGATTACTGAATTGTTCATCTATGTTTGTATATCTGTCCTTATTCAAATAAACAATAAATAAATAAAAAATAATCACAGGGTAGGTGTTAGGGGTGGCACGGTTTATGAAAAAAAACGTGTGCGTACCGTATGGTTTCTAGGGCTTGTGCATTGTAGCCTCATGCCCATATGTGACCTGTTTCGCTTTGGCGCAAAAGAAGAGGTGTGGAGGGTGGGTGCTG